TTGATCAGCAGAGAGAGAGTTGTTTGTTTGTTTGTTTAGAGGAACTAATTGCTAACCTTAATATTTGATTTAGAGTCTCACTGCAGAGGGAAGCCAGTTTGGAAGGAAAAGGAAAAACTAGACAGAAAAGTTTGCCAGCTTTTAGTGTTGTCTTACAATATAGCCGCAGGATCCCTTTGTATTACTGGCTGGTGTGATTCTAGCCCGCCCCTCCCTCTTTCTGGTTATAATAGCAGCTTTGTGAGCTGCAAGCAAATGCTAATCAAGGGTTCAGGAATGATCCAGAGGTTTCACCTTTTTGAGCTTCTACAATCAAAAATGCTGAAGATGCAGCTCTTTACTGTGGCCTGGGATATATACATTTAGGACACACCCTATTATTGTGGCTGTGATTTAAAATGCTGTGAACTGCCTTGAGATTTTATGACGAAGGGCGGTATATAAATCTAATAAAGAAAGCAAACTGTGTAATATTGTATGGGGCCTTGTGGTGAAGGCTGGGTAAAAAATTGAAATTAATCATGAGTGTAATTGAAATCATAATACCTGGGTAAGATAGGCAGATACCAGATGAGGAACTGTGGGGTGTTTTGTCAGACTTTTGATTTTAAACTGCTTTCAAGAGTTTTTCAACAGTCCAGCGGTGCATACATTTAATGAAACAAACAAATATTCATGTGAAACAAACAAACAAATGTAATCACTGGAACCCCTAAAACTGAACAATTTACTATTGCGGTGCCAGTCTCTAGTTTACCATTTCTTGGTCATGTGACTGAGCAGTCCATGGTGGTACAGAACTAGAAACCGCTGGATGACAGCTAACTTGGTTCTTATTAGGCCACCTTTAAGCCTAGTTTGGGTGGATGAACTAGACTGGTTGATTAGCAGGAGGAGTGAGAACCTGTTCATTCTCCTGAACCTTTCTGATGTTTTTGCTATCTTTAGTTATTGAGGCCTCCTGAGCCATCTGGCAAGGGTGAGGACACCTCCTCCTCCTCCTCCTCCTCCTTCTTCTTCTTCTTCGGTGATCACTCATAGCTGAGTAAGATTGTCTTCCATGAACACAGTCTTAGCAGTGAGTCCGTAAGTGACTGTGGAGGCCAATTCTGGATCCACACATCCTTCCACAGTGGGAACATAGGTTTCCGGATGGGAGTTGATCACTGTGTGGATTTGCCAAGCGTGCCTTCCTCTTAGCACATTTCTCCCTTGCTTCCTGAGTTCGAGTGTCTTCAAAGCCCATGACACCTTTGGTAAAGGCTGTTCTCCAATTGGAGCACTCACAGGCCAGTGTTTCCCAGTTGTCAGTGTTTATACTACATTTTTTTTAGATTTGCCTTGAGAGAGTCTTTAAACCTCTTTTGTTGACCACTAACATTACGCTTTCCATTTTTAAGTTTGGAATAGAGTAGTTGCTTTGGAAGACGATAATCGGGCATCCACACAACATGACCAGTCCAACAAAGTTGATGTTGAAGAATCATTGCTTCAGCACTGGTGATCTTTGCTTCTTCCAGTACACTGGCATTAGTTCGCCTGCCTTCCCAAGTGATATGTACTTACCTTTTTATGAGACCCCATTGAGAGAATCTCTCGAGGAGTTGGGGATGCAGGGGAGGCTGTGTGGCACACACTTTGTCCCCCAGCCTTGCTGCTGCCACCCCCACCACAAGCACAGGAGGCAGCCATCTCACTCTGCCTAATGGTTGGCATTAACCAATGTGGTTCTGCTCCATATTAATGGTGAGAAATCCAACTTATCTGGAAATGAGTGGACAGTTGTAACCCCCAAGTCCAAGAACCCCCTAGCCACCATGATATATGCCATCCTACTTACCTTTGAAGAGTGTTTAACAACTTCACTTAATTCAAAAGTGGCACTCTGTGGGAATGAGATAAGGAAAGTGTGCAAGGTTGGTTATTGGGGGGAAATGCAGTTTGTTTTCCAGTTTGTTTTGGGCACTGTTTAAGTGTTGGCCCTAACCTATAAAAACCAAAAAGTCTCAACAGGCTGCATACCTTAGGGAGACGTTCTTCTGGGTGAGTGCCCTCCACACGCACGCACACACTGGTACACAAAGATCCTAAAAAAAAGTTTTTCTGAAGTAAGGAAGTTGATGGGAAAGGAGGACGATATCAGCAAAGGTGCATACTTTATGGAATGTTCATCCCAGTCATGCCTAATATATTGTCATGATCAGCTGCTTTGATATTCTTTACTTTGGAAGAATGGGAGGTTCATGATGTCACAGGTGGCAGCCAATCAGTGCTTTGCACAGTCGGCCACTGGTTTGCCTTGAGCTCGATCCTGGGGAGAAGAACAAACAACAAGCGAATGCTTCCACATCAGCCCCACTACTCCGATTATTGTATGTTTGATTGCATCCCTTTTCTTCTCCTCTTTCCAATTAGCACTGCTGGATTCTGGTCAAGATCAGGTATCTTCTCTACATTGGCTTATGAAAGTGATAGGAGAGACAAATAAAGGGTGGCAGTCAAGCAGCTGTGATACACAATTAGAGCTGTTGGCTCCCACCTTTTCTTCCTTGCTGTCTGCTTTGCTGAATATCTCTTTTGTTTCTTTCTTGGTTGCATCCAGCTGGTCTAGACAAAAACAGAGCTGTCAGACCATAACTTTGAAGCTGCAGGCTTTTACTGTTCCATGGATGGGAGAACATTTCTGCTCCCACTGTAGCCTCAACAGTTCTGAATATACATTCATGCTATGACCGGGAATCTCACTGCCCATCCAGATCTCTCCTTTTGTTGCTTTGTCCTTGGATCCCCATCAGTGAATTGATGGATGACCATAAATTTGACAGTATTGCAGTGTAATGAAGATACCAATTTCTCTTGATTAAATATGCCTGGCATCTAATATTTTCCTTAGAAAATCGCCTTGATGTGCCACCCAAATGAAGTGATAACTTGGATCACTGTTAACAAATAGTGCTGGCCTTCCTGTTCATCATTGAAGGTCATAGCAAAAAATGTTTATGAGTCTGCGAATTTCCTTAGCACACAGTTAAGAAAACTGGCTTGTCATTTTCAATCAGGCAGGTGTGGGAGTACTGTAAGTAAATGTGGACTTTTCACTTACTCTATAATGTTCTTATTCTTAAATGTTTACACTCACATGTGGACTCTTAAAAGAATTGATACCCTGACATTTGAAAGCATTCGAGCTGAAAGTTTATGAGTTTGGGCTACTTTTTACATACCACAATAACTTAGCATTGCTGTGCCACCGTGGGAACTAGAAACTTGCATTAAGGAAACAAAAATAGGTCCTGAAAATCACTAAAAAATGCTTCAAGGCTTATATGCAGATTTCCAGACAAAAAGCTCACATTTTCTCAAAATGTGATCTGAAAGTGGGGCAATCTTGCCCCAGTGCTGAATGCCCCAATGCCCCACTCTTGATTTTCACATGTTGAGTACAGACATCAGCAAAGGGGGGGGGGCTGCACCCATGCAGCTGCAGGTGTATAGGTGACCCATGCAAGCAGGACTCCAGCATGATCAGGAGGGGTTGTGGTCCCTCTCCTGCCTCGGACATGGAATGAAATGCAGGAAATTTTTTGTCTGAAAATAACTAGCGGGTATTGTAGGTTTACAGGGATGCGGGTCGTGCTGTGGTCTAAACCACAGAGCCTAGGGCTTGCTGGTTGGCAGTTCGAATCTCTGCGACGGGGTGAGCTCCCGTTGTTCGGTCCCTGCTCCTGCCCACCTAGCAGTTCAAAAGCACGTCCAAGTGCAAGTAGATAAATAGGTACCGCTCTGGCGGGAAGGTAAACGGTGTTTCCGTGCGCTGCTCTGGTTCGCCAGAAGTGGCTTAGTCATGCTGGCCACATGACCGGGAAGCTGTACTCCGGCTCCCTTGGCCAATAAAGCGAGATGAGCGCCGCAACCCCAGAGTCGGCCACCACTGGACCTAATGGTCAGGGGTCCCTTTACCTTTACCTTTTATTGTTGGTTTAAACTACCAGTCAAGTTTTAAAGAGGGAGACGTTCTATTATGCAGCGTTGCTGCCCCAGCTCTCGCCACATTCAGAGAGAGGGGAGGCATCCCAGTGGCAGCAGATGTGGGAAGGGGGGGTGGCATGGAGTGGGGGCACCATTCCTCAGGTGGTAAAGCAGGACAGGCCACCCCTGACAAGCAGGCTTCCTTAAGGTTCATTCCCCCCCCCCTTATGAAAATGCCCAAGCTTTATAATCAGCCTGGGAAGCCCTGTTCTCTGGCCCATGGCTGTCAAAGCATCTTCAATGTATTTTATGAAAATCTAACAATAATTTAGAAAATCTAACACTAAGTACATAGTAAAAACGAACGCACAGCCATGAGTACACTTCCTCTCAATTATTCTAAAGTGTGATAAAGGGCTTTAAAAAGTGCCTACAAATTCATTAATCTGCAAGGTGCCTATTCCTATCAGTGCATTATAGTTCTCTCTTTCATATTCATTGTAATGGATTGTAGTGATGAATAGCCAAGCTCTATATATTCTCCATCTCATCTGTAGATAATACTCAGTGGTCATAAAACTTCCTATTTTCTTTGTACCATCTCTTAACTAAATATGGTTATGAGGGTTTTGGGGGGCAGGGCGGGGAGAGAAAGTAGGTTGTACAGTATGTGTAATCCTTCTAACTCCTGGATCCAGCAAGTGTTAACATATAAGCCAGGCTAGCTTCCTGTGTTGAGGTGATCACCTGGGTGATGGGCCATTAAGAGAAACAAAGGAAAGGGGCTCTGTGTGAGATGGCAAATGGGTGGGACTCCTTTATGGGCAGGGCAAATACCGTATTTTTCCCTCTATAACACGCAGATTTTTTTCTCCTAAAAAGTAAGAGGAAATGTCTATGCGTGTTATTGAGCGAATGTGTGGTCCCTGGAGCCGACTGGCCCGAGTGCATCACACATTTTCTTCGAGGGTCATCTTCGTTGCGGTCAGCAGAAGCCAGGGAAGTGCTTGCTAGGAGGTTTGGCCACTCTGCAGCGCGACTGTGTGTTTGCTAGTGTGTGTGCTTTGTGAGTGTGTGGTTGCCTGTGTGTTTGTTCGCTAGCGTGGGTGCTTGGAGGGAGTGAGAGAGTGACTGACTGCTGCATCTTCTCCTGCAATTTGCCTTTTAAAAAATTGGAAGCAGCGGGGCAGTAAAACCACCTCCGAAAGCCCCATTTTTCCCTTCTAAGGCTGCAGCTCGGCTTTGGGAGCCCTGAACCCCTGCCTTGTTCTTGAGGGATCTTTGAGGTTTTCCCTTTAGCTTTAACCCAGCCCCCTTATTTTACCAGTTTATCTTCATTCTCGGTGTGGTAAACTGATTGCAGGCAGCCACACGTGCGTTCGAGCCTCCCGAGAGAGAAAGCTGTTGCTTTCCTGCATTCTGCCTCAGGGTCTTACTGCCCACCCTCTTCTGTTTCGTTACTGTGTTTGCTCAAACGGAACAAAGAGCAGAGAAAACCCCTCCCCTCCAGGCAAGCAGAGGGGAAAGCAGAGCGTCCTTCCTTCTAATTCCTCTCCGTGCTCCGGTGCTGCTGCTGCTGCGTCTAGGGACTCGCAGGCAACATGCAGATGGGGGAGAGAGAGAGAGAGAGAGAGAGAGAGAGAGAGAGAGAGAGAGTTGGGTGGGTGGGTGGGTGGGTGAACTTTTGCCTTCCTTTCCTCCCTCCGGTAAAACCCCTCTCCTGCATTCTTAGCCAGCTGCTTCTCCGCACACCCCTCTCGGTGCTCCTTGTCCCTTCTATGTTTTTCCTTCCCTCCCCACTTAAAACGTGGTTACAAAGCACGGATCCACATGGATCCTCAGGATCTTTGCATTGGGTCACCCCAAATTCACCATCAGATCACATAGCAATGATCTGATGCAAAAACAGGGCTGCAATGGTGCAAAAACGTGGTTACAAAGCACGGATCCACATGGATCCTCAGGATCTTTGCATTGGGTCACCCCAAATTCACCATCAGATCACATACCATGTCCATGGCTACAGCCTGCACCAAAAAAATCACGCACCCACTGTTGCCTGGGGCTGCAATGGTGCAAAAACGTGGTTACAAAGCACAGATCCACATGGATTATCAGGATTTTTGCATTGGGCTACCCCAAACTCACCGTCAAATCACATGTCTGTGGCCACAGCATGAAGCACAAAAATGATACATCCACTGTTTCATTCAGAATTTTTTTTTCTTGTTTTCCTCCTCTAAAAACTATGTGCGTGTTATGGTCAGGTGCGTGTTATCGAGCGAAAAATACGGTAATTAGATGGATGAAGCAGAGTTTAGAGTTGAGTTATGGTGATGTGGGCCAGAAGTGAAGCAGCAAACAGAGATGGGAGTCATGTTTGATTTCTGTTTGAATCCAAGGTTTGTGGCTATGGAAGAAACAAGGCCCTTTTGGGATGTTAATGCTCTGAACCCCTCCATTGTTGGCTCAGGTTGTATATTATGTATAAATAATCCATATATCCTAAAGACACCACAGTCTCTACTGTGCCTAATTCCAAAAGAAAACACAGACCTTGGGTAAGCGCTGGGAGCCCCCGGGATCTTGCACTGTTCAGAGATTGGGGTGGCATGCCACAATATCGCCGGCAGAAAACCTTCCGATACAGGCAGTCATCTGAGGGATAATCTTTTTGCTGTGTTAAAAAGCTTTTATGCTGCTTCTGTTGCCATTTCAGTGTTTTATTGGTTACTGTTCACATAAGGAACTTCCTCTCTGTGACTGCCGAGACAATGAATGCCTCTTGGCATACATTTTACATAGGAAAGCAATAAAGAAAAGCAAACCCATTTCTTCTCACAGGGAAAAAGTAAAGCCAGAGCTTTGTCAAAGTTGTCTTAATGTGCCGGAGATCAGAAAGACAGAGCCGAGCTCCGGCGGAGGCTCCTGGGAACGGAGATGCCCCGTCCATCACTGCCCCATTGATGCTTCTCCCAGCTCAGCGAGATACCACCAGGCCTCTTCCAGCCATATGCATGCCCCAATCTCCACTCGATCCAACGGGCAGGTGCCCTCTGGCTCCCAGGACTCCTTCCAGCCTCACCTGTATTACCACTGCAACCAGCAAGAAGCCAGAAGCAGCTATGCCCTGCCAGGCCATGGGGAGAGGGCGACCTTGTGCTCCCATCACTCCAGTGGGGATTCGTCGTCAACTCCCCAGCACGAGGCTGCGGACATGAGATGGAAACAGTGGCCCCACGACCAGCAGCAGTTACGGCCAGTGCAACACCATGTCGTCACGGTCAGGTGAGGACAGATGACTGTAACGGGTTACACTGCCTCCTTCATCAAGGGATAAGGAGATGGAGAGTCTTGGCTTGCTCTGTGGAGCACCGTGTGCCTCTGAAATCCTCTTTATGCATTTTGTTTTTCAGTGGGCACTTTAGGCCATTGCTTAGCGGTGGGGCATGTGCTTTGCATGCAACCCCCCATATCTTCAGCTCACAAAAGGACTAGGTAGCAGGTGAAGGAAAGCCCCAGAAAGTTTCTGCCAGTCAGAACAGACAATGCTAGCCTAGATAGACAAATGCAAAGCAGCTTCCTTTATGTCTATGTGTACCTAGAAAAGCGAATGCAACAAACATGCCTCAATTTTACAGGTACGCTCATTAGGTAACCAGGATGGGTTACGGCTCCCTAGTTGGGTGCAGAGTCAGTGGCAAACCCAAGCATAGTTTTGGGGAGAAGTGTATTGGGTTTGTGGGCTTGCCTTACTCCCATGTTTTTAAAACACTTCCCCCTTGGCTCATTTTTCAGAGGCACCTAGTAACATAAAAGCAATAGTCACTTAATTTTGATGCTAATACTCCTTTACAAGCTGAAACTTAACGATCCTCGTTCTGGCTCCAGGCCAGTCTAAGGGCTGTTTGCTGCCTTACTTTTAAGATCTGAATACACTCTTGGGAGTTCAACCTCCCTCTAAATCGCCATGAAAAGGTCGTGCTTCTATTATATGCAGCTCTATCTCTTGTGAGCTGTTTCTGCGGTTTTCCCCTTTGTGTGTTTTTTCGTCAAGAAAACAAACAGACAAGCCATAGTGTTTTAGTTTAACAATTTGTTTTTTCATAACGTTGCCGAGGCAGAAACAACTCCAGAAAGTTTGCCCTGGTTTTTCAGACATGGTGCAAAATGTGAGTCTTAGGGTAGGCATGTGTGCTGATTTGCACAGGGAAGCTCACAGCTGGAAGGACTCCCCTCTCTGAAGGGCTGCCCAGTCCCAGTCCAACTTAAAAGAAGGAAGAGCAGCAAGGATCAGCCCCTGAACTGAGGACTAAGTCACCTGAGGTCACCTTCCTCACAATAGTGGGGTGTCTTACTTTTCTATATAAATTATAGTAATTGTGCCTGAATTTGAATCTCTACATATAAAGTAGTATAGGTAGATCCATACCCTCTCTTATAATTCTGTAGTGATGCATTTTGCATTTCTTCCTTTTTGGCTAATGTGCAAGTGGCCACTCTAGAGCCTAATATGCTTTTCCCCACCCAGTCCTCAAACAGCAGGATTCTGCTTTTAAAGTTCATTGAATGGATTTTGCTATTCCTCCGTGTGCGTGCGTGTGCGTGTGCGCGCACACACACATGTGTTCTTTAACAAAATTCTGAAGCAAATTCTTCTAATTCAAATTTACTCGCCCAAGTTCTAATGAATGAGCCTCCTGATTTGAATCTTGTTTTCACCATTCTCATGTTTTGGATACTATCAGATTTGGTTTTGGTTGTTGTTCTTAATCTGTACAATATCATATCTGGAAAAGTAATATTTATTCATTTACTCCCTCCCCTTGGTGCTACCAAGAATACTTAGCATTCTCGCCTTACAATTCATCCTCAAGGAAAGTTAGGATCTAAGATGACAATCCAGCGCCTTGCAGCTTCTTTTGCTTTTCCTCCCGCATGCTCTGTTCTGCACGTGTTCTCTGCCATTGACTTTTGCTTCCCATAGGTCCTTCTCCTACACGTAGAGCGGCATTTGTGCAAGAGCTCTGTTCCTAGTGCATTGTTCCGCAGAGGGTATGGACTGATCTGTGCTCTGCACTTTAAGATCAAAAGCAAAATTTGATAATTTAAAATTAAGTTGCATTTGAATTCTAAAGGGCTGAACAAATTCATTTCTGCTCTAGCTTAATGGCTGTAATCTGGCTTTGGAAATTCTTTGCCCTTCCTGATCATGCCTCTCTCTCCCACCATTATGAGAGGTCCCCTTGGCAGTACAAGCTCACTCACCTGTACAACAACCTTGTTGTATTTCACCTGATCTATATGGGTTGGACTTGGGTACCATCACCGAGGTTGTGCCAGTGTCAGCGGAGGCATGACGCTGAACTTATAGGAGAATTTGCTGGCAAATGCGTGAATGATGGGCCCTTCCCTGCATCTTTATAAGTACAGCTGGAGGGGTGTGTACCACCTCTTTGCTTATTTATTTATCTATTTATTTATTTTATTACATTTATACCCCACCTTTCTTCCACGGAGCTCAAGGCAGCAAACACAATTCCCCCCTTCCTTGTTTAAATCCCACAACAGCCCTGTGAGGTAGGTGACAGGCCTAAGGTCACCCAGTGAGCTTCATGGCCAAGCGGGGATTTGAACCCTGGTCTCTCCTCGACACTCTAACCATCATAATAATAACAACAACAATAATTTATTTGTACCCCGTCCATCTGGCTAGGTTTCCCCAGCAACTGTCGGCGGCTTTCAACAAAGATTAAAAAATACATTAAAATGTCACACACTGAAAACTTCCCTAAACAGGGCTGCCTTCAGATGTCTTCTAAATGTCAGGTAGTTGTTTATTTCTTTGACATCTGGTGGGAGGGCGTTCCACAGGGCGGGCGCCACTACCAAGAAGGCCCTCTGCCTGGTTCCCTGTAGCTTTGCTTCTCGCAGTGAGGGAGCCACCAGAAGGCCCTCAGTGCTGGACCTCTGTCCAGGCAGAACGATGGGGGTGGAGACACTCCTTCAGGTATACTGGGCTGAGGCCATTTAGGGCTTTAAAGGTCAGCACCAACACTTTGAATTGTGCTCGGAAACATATTGGGAGCCAATGTAGGTCTTTCAGGACCGGTGTTATATGGTCTAGGTGGCCGCTCCCAGTCACCAGTCTAGCTGCTGCATGCTGGATTAGTTGTAGTTTCTGGGTCACCTTCAAAGGTAGCCCCATGTAGAGTGCATTGCGGTAGTCCAAGCGGGAGATAACTAGAGCATGCACTACTCTGGCAAGACAGTCCGCGGGCAGGTAGGGTCTCAGCCTGTGTACCAGATGGAGCTGGTAGACAGCTGCCCTGGATACAGAATTGACCTGCACCTCCATGGACAGCTGTGAGTCCAAAATGATTCCGAGGCTGCTCACCTGGTCCTTTAGGGGCACAGTTACCCCATTCAGGACCAGGGAGTCCCCCACACCCACCCACACCCTGTCCCCCAAAAACAGTACTTCTTTCTTGTCAGGATTCAACCTCAATCCATTAGCCGCCATCCATCCTCCAACCACCTCCAGTCACTCACACAGGACCCTCATTGCCTTCACTGGTTCCAATTTAAAAGAGAGGTAGAGCTGGGTATCATCCGCATTCTGATGAACACCCAGCCCAAACCCCCTGATGATCTCTCCCAGTGGCTTCATGTAGATGTTAAAAAGCATGGGGGAGAGGAAGGAACCCTGAGGCACCCCACAAGTGAGGGCCCAGGGGTCTGAACACTCATCCACCACCCCCTTTCTGGACACGGCCTAGGAGGAAGGAGCAGAACCACTGTATGACAGTGCCCCCAGCTCCCAGCTCCTCTAGATGGACCAGAAGAATATTATGATCGATTGTATCAATAGCCGCTGAGAGATCCAGCAGAACTAGGAAACAGCTTTCACCTTAGGCTGCTGGAGATCATCAACCAGTGCGAACAAGGCAGTTACACCACAAAAGCTCTCACTCCTAGATTCTGCCATTGTGCCTTTTGAAACTTATAACCCATATTCCGAGTGGATGCAGGGATTGTGCAATGAATTCCTCAAGGAAACTTTCAGGGATTCCCCAGCTGAGAGCCCAAGTCTTTCGCCAAGGGACACAAACTCCCACCATCCCTTGCTGTCACCTGTGCTGGTTGAGCCTGGTGGAGGTTGCTGTCCGAAGCTGCCTGGAGAGCCATATGTTCCCTCCTGCTGTTTTAGATGCTTCAGCCTGGTTGCTGGTTGAATGAACCAAGTCAGAAGAGGACCCCCATAAGCTGCAGGGACAGCCAAGTCCATCATCACGCAAACTGCCAACCTCCCCAACCATGCTATTTAGGGTTCATTGCCTTGTACTGCATCTCAGACTTCTGACTTTGTCCTTTGCCTGCCTGGAAGGGTTAACACTCTCATGAACGGAGACTTCTGCCTGGGCTGACATTAATAAGCCAATGAATATCTTTCTCCCTACAGACATGACAAAGTGTTCAGGATGCCAAAGAGGTAGGTTACAATCAATCTCTCTACCCTATCATCATGTCTCCTCCTCCTCTTCACACCCTGCTATTAGGAACGAGGCAATGTATTATTCCTGGTGACATCCCAGGCAGGCAAAGAGCTGCAGCTACATTAGTAGGTTCACAGCTCCTCATTAAGAGCTTCCCATCTGTTTTGAGTCCCCCGCTCCCCCCAACCCAACCTGCTTTGCAAGAGATGTACTCCGCAGCTTTAAGGAAAAGCTCGCCTTCCAGAGAGCTTTCCCCATATCACACTTGAACCAGGTATTGCCGTGTTGTTCTGCATGTATGGCCTTCCTTTGCACGTTGCACTGTTTTGCACGTTCGACATTTAGCATGCCCCGTTATGCTCAACATAACACGTGAAGTGTCAACATTTTCTTTCTCGCACATCACAAGTGTTTCACATGAACGTACATCAAGTAGTTGGAGACAGTAGTGGCTCCCTGTGGTGTTTCTACCGTGTAAATATGGTGTGTGTGTAAGATATGTATTACTTTCTGTCTTGTGAAGCAGGCGTTTGCTAACTTCTTAATTTGTGCCTATATCTACTGAAATGGATTTAGGGCCCTAAAGCTAACACTAGTAGCTAAAGGCATTGGGATACAGAAGCTAGGGACCGTCCTTCTAAAAAAGAAAAAGAAAAGTGCTTTTATTCAGCTGAGCCTGCTGGGTTGAGCATCTTGACTCCCTGCATGATATCGGTCTCATCTCTTCATTTCTGCATGCTACAGCCTCTTCATCTTCCAAGTGATGACACTGTTTATTTGCCTCAGCTAGAGATCTGCTACCAAGCTGCTCCTCTGACAGATGCAGCATAATACAAATAAAATGTTAATAGGGAAATTCAAGGAAAGGTATAGGGACTGGATGGAGGGCCAACATTTCTCTGACAAGAATTTTCGGATCGGTTTTTGAAATATTTCCTTTTGGGTGCTTCACCGCCAACCTATTGGAGAATGTTAGCCCGGCTCAGAGAATATTCAGTGAAAAGCCACCCCAAATGTCTCTGGCCATGAATGAAAATGGGGACTGGCTGGTGCAGCTGTAGATCTAGTTTAATAACTGTCTAATACCATTTTGATCATAGGGAGGGAAGCAGCAGGCTTGGCACCTGCCCCTTTCAGTCTTACCTTCTCACCTCGTTGCTTCTTTCATCCACTAATCTAGCTCCATTCAGTATTACCTGAGCCAAAGGCTGTGTACAAACCATCCATTTAAAGCACATGACTTGCCCCCAAAGAATCTGGAGCACTGTAGATCATTAAGGGTGCTGGGAATTGTAGCTTTGTGAGGGGTAAACTACGGTTGCTGGGATTCTTTGATGACAACTACATACTTCAAATCAGGAGTTGTCAGCCTGGTCCCTACCGCCCACTAGTAGGTGTTTCAGCATTCTAGGTGGGCGGTAGGGGGTTCTACAGCACAAGCTGAATCTTCCTTCCACTGAGCACTGGTGGGCGGTAAGGAAATTTTACCATCAAGAAATATACATTAGTGGGCGGTAGGTATAAAAAGGTTGACTACGCCTGCTTTAAATGGATGGTGTGTATGGAGCCAAAATTTATCAGAAGTGAATTTTGAGAAACATTTGAGAACATTCTTTTTGACCACCCCAGAACTATAAAATGAGGAGGTTCTAATTCTGATTGGAGCAGTAGTGCTGGGGAAGGGAGTGTCTAATGTTTCCCTCCTGTGTCATTTCCCCCAAAGAGAAATCACTCCCAAGTTGTTACACTAGTCCTGCTGGTGAATAATAGGCAGGTACTTACTTATATTAGGGACACGGGTGGTGCTGTGGGTTAAACCACAGAGCCTAGGACTTGCCAATCAGAAGGTCGGCAGTTCGAATCCCCGTGACGGGGTGAGCTCCCGTTGCTAGGTCCCTGCTCCTGCCAACCTAGCAGTTCGAAAGCACATCAAAGTGCAAGTAGATAAATAGGTACCGCTCCGGCGGGAAGGCAAATGGTGTTTCCGTGTGCTTAGCCAGAAGTGGCTTAGTCATGCTGACCACATGACCCGGAAGCTGTACACCAGCTCCCTCGGCCAATAAAGCGAGATGAGCGCCACCACCCCAGAGTCGGCCACGACTGGACCTAATGGTCAGGGGTCCCTTTACCTTTACCTACTTACTTATATTATGCATCTCTTTCCTTCTAGCAAGATGACTAAATGCAGTGTGTGTGTGTGTGTGTGTGTGTGTGTGTGTGTAAGAGAGAGAGAGAGAGAGAGAGAGATTTCAGTCCAGAAACAGCACAGCATCTCCCCTTCTCTGGCTCCACTGCTCCAATCAAAATTGCAGGCTTCACCCCTTCCAAATGGCTGCTTTAAAGAGGAAGCTGAGAGGTGGTGACTTGTTTTATCTCTGACTGCAGTGAGAGAGACCAACCATTAGGCTGTCTTAGGGTATGTTCACATTAGTAGCTTGAAACATGCAAGGCCACCCCCTTCCCCCTTCGTTTCAAGCCCCATTTTCACATCAGAGAGGGCGCACGGATGTCTAACATGTATGGCCTTTTTGGTCTGAAGGTTAAACGCTGAGACTTCAAGGCAACCGCTAGTTTGGCTGAGCCTCTCTCAAATAACTTGATAGGGTTTCCCTCTCAGCTCCCCCTTATTCCACCCCAAGAGGAATGGAATAATTTGGTCATGCATGGTGCTAAAAACTGAGCTCCATTACCATATACACTTCCTCTCCATCTTTGAAAAAGAGAGGGGACATGACGAACAAGGTACCCCCGAGGAGCAAAGGATGCAGGCCCCCAGCCGCAGGTCTGCTCCACAGAGCCCCCCAAGCATGCATGCTAATGTCATTTCCCTAACCATTTTGGGGTGGGTAAGGCACTTTTTAGCCACTTATTTATTTGGGGGGTTAAAGGAAGAGCCTAATTTCAGGACAGAGTGAGGCAGGTAGGTGGCTTGTTCTCCAGCTATGAAGACTTGGGGGGATAGTTACAGGTACAGCCTAGTATGTCGCCATGCGCCTAGGTAATCTGAATCAATAACTTGTGAACCCAGAGCATGAGCCGATGACCCACTCCCACCAGCACCCACCCTGAAACCTGGTGCCAGATCACACCAGTAGCCAGTGTGGGTTTTAACTGGCAACATTAAAAGAAAGAAGTCCCTCCCCACTTTACCCACCTAAAAGAGAGAGAGAGAGAAATGAATGAAACAGAAAATTAAATGAAATGGCAGCTTCTTGTTTTCCTTTCGCTCCTTTCCAGTTTGTCCCAAGTGATTGCTGAGTGGCCGGTCGCTGTCTTAGTGCTCTGTTCGGTGACCGTGTTGGTCTGTACGCTGGTGAGCGTGTTAGTGGGAAATTTGCCTGATTTTTCTGAGCCCTTGATGGTAAGTTCCTGCAGATGATCTGCCTCAGGGACATACAGTATCCTTCCATGTAAAGGTTGGTTACCCTCTTTCCATGCTTTAGAGTTGCCCTGGCAAATACTTGTAGGTGCCTAATGAGATTTCTTCTCCCACAGTCTTCCAATAAAATATGTACAGAGTGTCAGTTTGCATTTCTTAGTACAGAAAGTATCGATCTGATGTGTAGAGATCTTTTCCTATTCCAATTAGTTCAAGAAGGTTCCGGAAGCTTCTCTGTGTGAAAGAAACAAGCAGAAGGTTCATGGTGTTTGGGTTATTCCTTCAGAGAAGCTGAGTGCAGCTGGTTTAAACTGGTTCTGTTATCTCTTCTGTCAAGATCATGCTGACTATAATAGGCCAGAAGGAGCCGGGGTTTCACTTTCTCTATCTCTCTTCCTTCTGGTGTGGTGTTCTGTATATAGTGTTAAGGTTTAGACTTATTATAAGTTATTGTAAGTTTCAGTTAAGTCTGCTGCAACTGGACTTCTTATGGACAGTGCCAATCCTGAACATATTGGATTTGTGACCATTGTGCTAATTTGCCTTCAGTAGCAGTAAAGCTCTGCTGGATGGAATATTAATTGCCTCTGGTCTATTTTTTGGGAATCCTGCAATGTGTTTAAGTTTTTACTCTGCTAACTATACATTGGAGTTTTGCTCTGGATCAATGTTGAGTAAAATTTCCACTACAGAGAGAACATTATAAGTGTTGTCGTCTTTTTAAACCACTCTTGTAGATTTTCAGAACTCGTTAAATAACCTGACCTTAATAAAGTCCTGATGTAAATTATTTTCTGGTGTGGGGAGGCTAAATCCAGACTTTGCATATTAGGCCAAATCCTCATAGCAAAAGTCCTGTTGATATGGATGGGAGCTGCACAAGAGATTTGCATTGAATTGAAATGAACTGGAATTTGTTCAATCCCATTGAAATTAATGGGAGATCTTACCTATTGAAACACTTCATTAAAATGGGTCCAGACTTGGTTTGCTCAGGATTAATTCTGGTTATCCAGTCTTGAAATCTTAAACTTAAACTAAAAAAGGACTCATCTGAACATACACATTAGATTAGTGCTATATCCAATGGCGTACTGTAAATAGAAATGCCCTTGTATAACATCTTGAAATATGTACATTTTTATATTTATAAATAGGGATTTGAGCCACGAGACACCGACATAGGCAGAAAGCTCACTGTCTGGAAGAATATGAAAAGCCACACAGGCTATAAGAAGATTCTCTCTCTTTCCCCTCACAATGACAACAGGTACATGTTTTGGGGGCAGGGATATGGATTACAGATCTTCGACTACAACAGGGATGTCCAACTTCCAAGAGACTGCGATCTACTCCCACTATAAAAACACTGGCAATGATCTACCCATTGGATTAACCAAAGTTGTTGAGCTTTTGGGGGGGCCTTCACCAAAAGTTGAGCTTTTTTGGGGGGTGTCAGAACCTAAGTTGTTGAGCTTTGGGGGGGGGCGATCCATCAGGATCACAGGATAGACCAGAAACGCCCCACAATCAACTGGTAGATCGAGATCAACCCGTTGAACATCCATGCTCTAGAACAATGGCCCATTTCTTATTATGTTATGTATTGTGGAACCATCAATATACATGGTGCTTAACAGCATAAAATAGGAACTGAAAAAAGACTGTAGTCTATATTTCCACACTGGAGGAGGCAACAATGTGGGGGGCAGCACAGGGATAACACACCAGAGGCACAGAGGCTTGTCTCCTAAGATGTTAACTATTATGGTTTCCTACCATATTTCTGGTTTCCTACCATATTTCTGTGAGTCAGATATTCAGGCAATGTGTTTCCATGGAAACTAATCGTTAGCCAGTCTTCCTTAGGTCTTCTGAATGGTGCAAAAGCTGGCCTCCCATCCCCCAAGGATGATGATGATGATGCTAACCACCACCACCACCACTTTATTATTTATATCCCACCCATCTGGCTGGGTTTCCCCAGCCACTCTGGGCAGCTTACAGCATATATAAAACATAGGTGTGATCAAGGTGTCTGGAGAGCTGGCCTAAGGCATCTTATTCATAGAGGAAAGAGCAAGACATTATAGCCAGGAGTTTTGTTGGGGGGGGGGGGAGTTATTGAGCTTTGGGGGGCGGGAGATCACAGGTTAAAAAAACCCCTCAATAAAAGGACATTACGAGGGACAGGCTTCTGTTGGGGGTGCAGAACCTCAGTGAATTATTTTTAATGCTTTTCAATAATTTTTGAGGATTTACATTTTTTGAGGATTTCACATGGGCATGGCCAGTGCTTTTTTTTTCTCTAAAAAGATGTTTAAGGGTATTCTCATTTTGACTCAAGAAAATCTCCATTTTATAATTCAAATCGGGGAAAATAAATACAGTAAATGGAGAAAAGTACTAAGATTCACAAAATGTTTAGGGGCATGCGTACCCCTGCATCCTCCCAGAAAAAAACACTGGCTATGCCCATGTTACCCACCCACTTCCTGCGCAGTGGCAGTTGGCTCTTGACTTCATCACTGGCAATGGAGCACTGCCCTTCACCCCTGAGACAAACAGGCGAGTTTAAAGGGTGCAGGACGGGCCATGCCACACACCTCTCTTCTCACCCTCTCCCTGATGTGGGGCAGTGGATTTAGCTGCCCCTTAGAGTGCTTAAAGCAGGGGTAGGCAACCTAAGGCCTGGGGGCCAGATGCGGCCCAATCGCCTTCTCATCCGGTCCACGGGTGGTCCTTTTATTTAAAATGCACCTCTGGGTTATTTGTGGGGCCTGCCTGGTGTTTTTACATGAGTAGAATGTGTCCTTTTATTTAAAATGCATCTCTGGGTTATTTGTGGGGCATGGGAATTCGTTATTTTTTTTCAAAATATAGTCCGGCCTACCGCATGGTTTGAGAGATGGTGGATCAGCCCCCTGCTGAAAAAGGTTGCTGACCCCTGGCTTAAAGTATCCCACCGCCTACGGCCAGCCTTTATATTTGTAAATAAATGCAAACATGACACACCATGGGCTGTTTCCAAATGAAACAGTGTCAGCACTTGGTATCGTATTTTTCGCTCTATAAGATGCACCCGACCATAAGACGCACCTAGTTTTTAGAGGAGGAAAACAAGAAAGCAACGCAAAGCCTCTTGAGCGAAGAGGCAGGAGCGCTCCGGCTGCACTCAAGAGGCTTTGCGTGGCTATCCCTGGAGCAAGAGGGATTGGGGCACACCGATCCCTCTTGCTCTTCAGGCTTCAGCGATAGCTGCACAGCCTGCATTCGCTCCGTAAGACGCACACACATTTCCCCTTACTTTTTAGGAGGGGAAAAGTGCATCTTATAGAGCGAAAAATATGGTGAGTGTTGCGTCCCTGTAATTTCAGCTGCTTGAAAAAGTTGGGTTAGCATAGGGATAGGTGAACTTAAGGAGCATCACAGAAGGAAATTTCCCTCATCCTCTCCTCCTTCCTGCATTCATCTACAACCTCTCCCCGCCCCCCAAAGAAGAAACCCTCTCTGTGGGGAAGAACAATGTGGGGTGAGGTGACAGGTTGCTAGGAAGGAGGAGGGGGGCAGGAACTTATTTAAGTGACACTGTTGTTTACGTTCCCTCCAAACATACTGTAGGATCCAAGCCTGGCAGAGAACAAGGGCAAGAGAGGAGGGAGAAGGAGAAGCCTTTCTTACAGCTCTGTATTGTAAAAGCCATGCAGATGAGTTGCAGAACCATACTCAGTTCAGGACAATGTTGTTTCTTTTTTTGCTAGTTACGGGGACATAGGCATGAACAGAGGGCAGAGATCCATACAAGGCGAACGAGAAGCAAGAATAAGGAGGATGGTGGAGCCAGACTATGAAAAGGATGGCTTCTTTTGTGGACCCCCAGGTAAGTTTTGTTTGAGATTGCCCTCCAGAACTGACCAAGGCAAGAAAGTAAAGACATTTTTGTGAAACCCCCTGAGACCTCCAGGTATAGGGCAGTATATAAATTCAATAAACAATAATAAATAATTTTCCTTATGGAAGGTTTTTGAAGCTGCCTCGTTCCATATACTCATTTAAGAGCCTTCAGCTTGCGTGATACACCTTCAGTGCAGATCTGTAACTAATAAGAGGCGTCATTTCCTATTTTACAAGCAGGGAAGCAAAGTGAGAGCTTTTATTTCTTTAGCAAATTTATATACCGCTCTACATCGTAAGATCTCAGGGTGGTTCAGAGAGTAAAATACAGGATAAAAATATGAAAATAAGTAAGACAAAAATAGCAAAACAACCCCCCCCCCACTTCCCACAGACACATTTAAAAGGCTGCAGAATATTAATCAGCTTAGAGCTGGCCAATATTGTGTAGTGTGTGTGTCCGCGTATTAGTATTAGTGAAAGGACTCAGAGATGCTTCTTATCCCCCAGCCTCAAAAACCCACAAGTGCAACATTGGTAATCCAAGGAAATGGGTATAAACTGGAATGATTTGCTGCTTTGAGGATTTTTAAAAAAATAAAATAAAGCAGTGTATAGATTTTATGAAATAAAATAATTAATAAATTAAATAAATGACCAGACAAAGGATGCCAATTAAAACCAAGTTAACAGGAAAAGAAAATCAATAAGATTAAATAGTTGTGGCATAGCCCAAGTTTAAGTGAGTTAAGGTAACCAATGGTTTAAGCAAACAGGGTAAGTCTTGTTGTATGGTTACCTCTTTGGAAAACAGAGTTATACAAGGACAGTGAAAGCAGCCCCCCCCCCAACCCACATGTCTAGAGCTTGTTCCAAGTAGTTTGTCAGGTATCTTTGCTGTTGCATAACTGTACCTACTATTTTGGCCCTTAGGGAAAAGTTATTCTCAGCTGGTATTTATGTCCACAACTGCTGGAAGCTTATGGAACTTGAAAGCAATACAATCCATGTGTCAAATGGAGCAGGACAAGGTTGGTATTGCTGTAAGGAATATGCACACACTTATACTCCTGGATTGTTTTAACTTCAGGTTAATGCTTCCGAATCAGTGTCAAATCCTTACTTCCAGATATAGTTTTTCTCCCTCTCTCTCATACACACAGAGAGGCACACAGGAGGTGCCTTAGTCAGACCACTGGTCCATCTCGCTCAGTATTGTCTCCATAGGCTGGCAGAGGCTCTCCAGGGTTTCAGATAAGACATATTCCAGCCCTACCTGGAGATCTTGGGGACTGAACCTGAGACTTTCTGCTCTACCAGTGAGCTACAAGCCTCCCCACAAATTCCGTAGAACGCTACATCCTGAAACACAACACTATGCTTTAAAAGACGACTGAAATAGGGGGCGTGTGTGAACAAAATCTTTAAAAGTCCCCATCCTCAGAACAAGACATTTGTCAAAAGGATAAAACAGAAATGGAAGTGGCAGTGGGGCAGGCCTAATTCATTCTTTTTCCCTTTGGCTTTTCCAGATCCGTTCTCATGCAGAGTTTGGGAATCTCTGTCAGCGTACTGAAGCCAACGAATGCTGTCCAAGTTGGTCTCTTGGAAACTTTATCGCAGCCCTGTACAACAGGTCTTCTTGTTTAGAGGTTACCGAAGCCGATGTTTCCCACACCCTTGTGCTCCTTCGTTCATGTGCCCCCGACTATCACAAAGGTGTCCTTGTCCCTCCTTGCATCGGTCCCAAGACTGAAAGAGACAAGCACACCCAGTGCTCCAAAATCCCCGAGAAATGCACTCGCTTCCGTGCTGTTTACCAGCTTCTTCATTTCCTCGTCGACCGAGATTTTCTCAGTCCACAGACAGTGGGATACCAAGTGCCAACCCTGAAATACAGCCTGCTGTTCTTGCCTATGATGAAAGGAGCATCCATGATGGGCATCTACCTGAACAACCTTGAGTCGTGGGACTTGTTTGATAATTACACGTCCATTACTGGGATGGATCTGGGCCTTAAGCAGACATTATTCCAGCACTACCTATTACTGGATACCATGTATGCAGTCTTGGCGATACTGGCCATATTTCTAAGCATATTTTTTTATTTGCGCTCGGTCTTTATTACTTTTATCACCTTAATTATTGTCTTTGGTACCTTGATGATTTCCTATTTCTTGTACAAGGTGGCCTTTAGATTCTCCTACTTCCCTTTTGTAAACCTAACAGCGGTAGTCATTCTCAGCAGTCTTTGTGCCAACCACACCTTTGTCTTTTTCGACCTCTGGAACCTGAGTAAGAGCCAGAACCCATCCGCTGGGCTACTGCAGTGGGTAAGACTAACCATGCATCACTTTGGGTATCTCATGCTAGCATCTTGCCTGACGACTGGTGCTGCTTTCTACGCCAGCTACATGAGTTACATAACCGCCATCCGATGTTTTGCCATCTACATGGGCACCTCTGTCCTGGTAAACTTGGTCTTCATGCTGACCTGGCTTCCTTCCACCGTTGTGCTGTATGAACGTTACCTAGCAAGGAGCTGTGTCTATAAACCAGAGGGCTATTGGAATAACAGTGGGCACAAGAGTGTCATTCTCTCTCTCCACCACATCCTCAGGCGTATCCAGAAAACCTGGCACGAAACCGCCAAGTTATTATTTGAGAAAGTTCTTCCTTGTGGGGTGATAAAGTTCCGCTATATATGGATCTGCTGGTTTACCACCTTGGCTATAGGGGGTGCCTACATTTCCTGTCTGAACCCTAGGCTCAAACTGCCTTCTCTAGAGATGTCATCTGTGCAGGTTTTCAGGCTAAGCCACCCCTTTGAGAGGTATGATGCTGAATATTGTAACGAGTTTATGTTCGAAAGGCTGGAGCGAGGAGAAGACCTGCACATGCCCGTCACTATTATATGGGGTGTACTCCCAGTGGACAATGGGGATCACTTTAACCCCAAGAGCAATGGCACTCTGGTGATGGACCCAGCATTTACCATTGAAAATTCTGAAGCTCAGCTATGGCTGCTGGACTTTTGCCAAAAAGTTAAAAACCAGACTTTTTACTACTCTGAACTGGAACAAAAACCCACCGTTTGCTTCATGGAAGAATTTCACCGGTGGATGGATAGCCGTCAGTGCTCTAAGAGAGATCACAGCTTCAACCTCTGCTGTAATCACTTCTCCTTCCCATACAGCAGAGAAGTCTTCCTTCATTGCATCAAGATGATGATCATGGAACAAAACAGAGACGAGGCTGAGACTCGGGACCTAGGCCTCAGATTTGATGAAAGGGGCAACCTGGTTGCTTTGGTGCTACAGTTTCAAACCATTTACCACTACAGCTTCAACTATAGCAAGGCCAAGCATTTCTATGATGAAATTGGCCTCTGGATAAGAGAAGAGATGAAGGCAGCCCCCATGGGGCTTCAGAACGGCTGGTTCACCAGCAAGCTGGAGCTCTACAATCTCCAGCACAGCGTGGACACAGAGAGTATGGTAGTGCTGGGCTTATCAATAGCCATCTCATTTGTGGTTCTTTTGCTCACAACTTGGAACGTCCTTCTTAGCTTGTTCTCCGCCGCAGCTATTACAGGCACCGTTCTGGTAACTGTCGGCCTGTTGGTCCTCCTGGAGTGGCAGCTCAACGCGGTGGAGTCTCTCTTCATTTCGGCAGCAGTGGGTCTCTCCGTTGACTTCACGGTCAACTACTGCATATCCTACCACTTGTGTCCGCATCCTGATCGCCTGAGCCGTGTAGCCTTCTCCCTGAAGCAGATGAGCTGTGCCACTGTCATGGGGACTTCGGCTTTGTTTTCGGCAGGTGTCATCATGCTGCCTGCCACCGTGCTGGCCTACAGGAAACTGGGCATTTTTGTGATGATGATCAAGTGTGTCAGTTGCGGCTTTGCGAGCTTCTTCTTCCAGTCTCTGTGCTGCTTCTTTGGCCCGGAGAAGAATTGTGGACAAATAATTTGGCCTTGCACTCGTGCTCTGAAAAACTATTCGGACGACCCGAGCTCTTCCAACAGAACGTTTACCTGTGGGGGAAATGAGAAGCAGAGTAGGTTACAAAAAGATCAGGAATCCAACAGTGCAAATGAACAGTACGAGCTCCAGCCTTTGGCCAGGAAGCTTAGTGACAGCTTTGACAACAGCACCTCCACAAGCAAGTTGTCCAATCGCCCATCTGTCTTATCTGAAGACATTCAGCTCCAAGATAGCAAGTGCTCTGGAATGGAAGTTCATCCTTCCTCTGAAAAGGACAGACAGAAGCTGGAACAGAGTGCAGGGCGTCATGTAGCCCTTTGCCAATGTCCAGCCCTGCAAACATCTTCTCCTTACAAACCTGGAAGCAGCTCAGGAAATGAAGCAGAAAGTCATAGGGACAGGCCTCGCAGAGACTGCAGATGTAAAAAATATGGCCATAAAGCTTGGGACCATCTTCAGTCAGCCAGCACAGTCGATGACAAACTGCTGAATAAATCTCACTCCTCAAGCAACACCGATCAACAAAAATCAGATTATACCTCAGAAAATAGTAATGTACCAGAAACTGAAATGTACGAACTCCACAGATGCCTTTATTCTACTGGCAGCTCTTTCAGTGCTCAGAATGTCTCCAGTGAGACATCCCTGAGTGACTTTGAACCAAGCGTAAAACTCATGGAATCCGCCAGTTATTGCCCAGGTCATTTAGATGTAGCTGGTTCTTGCTGTCCAACTCAACGAGGTCACCTGAATGGAAAAAGAGACACCCTGAGGCTGGACCTGAGGGAGACTGTCTTTGACACATCTGCTTCAGCATCCCAGCAAAACAGCGGTTTGAGGAAAACTCAAAGGTTAGGAGTAGGGGGCGAGGATCCAGTTGTCTTGCCAAACAGCAAACCAGATATGCCTGATGTTTGGATCAAGCGGTCTGGCGCCCAAAACTCTGGATACTGAAATGAACATCTCAGAGGAAATAATTGCTATTTCAGGGGCAAGGATAATTAATTTCCATTTTGAGTAGGGAGCATAAAACTTTTCCAAAAAACGAGAACAAGCTGCATTTTTACAAAGCCAGCAAACCTGGTGCGGATTAGAGGCAGATGTTATTGCAGTGTCAGCTGTTCAACTGCCTGCTCCATAGACAGTGCCATATTCTCTATTATACTGCAGGATTATTAAGCAAGAGTTCTTTGTCATTCTCTCCAGTGCAATTCGTTTTGGAGTAAACAGAGAGGCATGATGATGAGTGGAATAAGTGTGAAGTAAATGGCTCAAAGGATATTTTAAAGACAAAGGGAAACCCTTTTCTAAAACATCATTGCTACTAACCGACTGAATATTGATGGCGTGACACAAAAAGTGTCTTTTAGCTCAGTCATCCCTCTTTTCACCATCAGTCAAACAAATCTCCTTAGGGAAAATGTATTCAGATAGCTGAAAGTAATATTATCTGGGGTACTTTCGTTCAGAGAAGACTAACCAGTAGCCCTTCAAAAATAATGGTGGTTGCTCTCCCCTCCAATTTTTGCCTACAATGTAATTTACAAGTGGAACCTGCAAGAAATTGTATTGCAGCGTGGAACATTTCTGTTCTGGGGTCCAGCCAGCCAGCCTTGGCTTTCCTTAGATATGCTGTTCCATTACCCCCTCCAGTTTTCCACCTCCCTGCCAGTCAGGATTCTGTGGCCACTGAGCATGCTCAGTCCTCATTGGGTTGCTGTTTTTGCCCCCTTAAGTCTGCCCCTCCTACTTATTTTGTGCCCTTCTGCAAACCTTAGTCCCCCTGCTGATAACTTCCTCTTGTGTGTGGATGGTGAAGTTTTGGCTGCAGAAGAGCTGACACGCAGAGAACAAGTTTGTTATTAACATATAAGATCCCTAAATCAGAAATTCAGCATATTTTTCTCTTTCCCACTGACAGTGTGCTTAAAGTTCATCAGACATTTTTCTGGTAATTCTTCATTTTCTGATATGGGTAATTTGTGTTTCACCTTAGCGGCTAGTATTTCATTCAAAGCTGTACAGAGATGTCCAAGTTTGCATATTTATGGAATCCTGCAATTTACTTTCTCTCTCTCCATTGGCCATGTCACGCCCTGCCCTGGCCCTCTCAACCATCACAATCTTTTTACATTTACTTGTCAAAGTGATATCCCAGCGTAAAAAATAAACATGTTTCCTAAACTGGGCTCAAAATCTTAATTATTTTTGTTTGCACAGCTAATTGTGTGATTATATTATTCATACATGGACAGAGTTCCACCCACCACCCATACCAAGATCCAGGGCTCTCTGTACTTTCACACGCACACCCCATTCCCTCCATCACTAAGTACCACTGTGCTCTTCTCTGAGGCTTCACATGCGTTTCCTCAGCAGGCCAGTCCTATCATGTAAAGCAAACAGAAGTGTGCAGTAGCTGAGCAGATGTACTGAAAATGTAAAGGAACATCTTGCCAAACATTTTTGCTTACTGAATTAAATTAGAAAAGGGGCAAGGCTGTAGGTTTTCCTTGACACCAGCCTCCCACAAGCTGGTGCTCCACATGCTTTGAACTCCAACTCCCATCAACCCCAGACAGCATGATCAACAGTCAGGGATTATGAGAGTTGTACAGTGGTACCTCGGGTTAAGAACTTAATTCGTTCTGGAGGTCCGTTCTTAACCTGAAACTGTTCTTAACCTGAGGTACCACTTTAGCTAATGGGGTCTCCCGCTGCCACCGCACGATTTCTGTTCTCATCCTGAAGCAAAGTTCTTAACCCAAGGTACTATTTCTGGGTTAGTGGAGACTGTAACCTGAAGCGTCTGTAACCTGAAGTGCCTGTAACCCGAGGTACCACTGTAGTTCAAAACATCTGGAGTACACCAGAGAGGGGATGTCGGCTTCACACAATCCAATGTCGCCACATTATTGCTCTCTCGCTGTTTGGAGGGGTAAAGGTAAAGGTACCCCTGACCATTAGGTCCACTTGCACAAAAGCAGGACAACCCCCCACAGAACATCTGTGGCATGAAACGTTACAGGATTTCACCAGAAGCTGTTGGACATGCACTGCCTGGAGGTATATGAATCTCAGGCTAGAGTCCAACAAGCCAAACCAAGGCAGGAAATAATGAGGCTGTTGACTTTGTTTTTTTGGCTAAAAAAAAAAGCTGCAGGACAGGAATATACACCAAACATTTAACCCCCAGCCCCACCAAAGAATCCCGGGAGCTATACTTTGTTAAGGGTGCGGGAAACTATAGCTCTGTGAGGGGTAAAATCCCTGGATTTGTGCTTTTTTGTGTTTGTGCTTTAAATTTGTGGCGTATACACGATCATTGTCTAACTACCGGGAAGGTGCGAATGGAGTGGAGAGTAGCCGGCATTGCTAAGTGTCAGTCATTACTACAGGCTGGCTTGTTCTGTCCACTTGCCATCCTTGCTCAGGTACACGTGTATTGTCACCTTTGAAAAGCAAGACACGTGTCAGCAGGGCTGCATTCCCCTATCCTCAAAGCCCAGTGACGGAAGAAGCGACACTTGGTGGCACATCTGCTTTCTCAGCAGCGCTGAAGGTACAGAACCCCCGACGCCGGGTGTGTCCTAGAAAAAAATATACAGGTTAGTCCACCCAAGTCTGCAACCCGAGGGTTACTTCCTTCGGATCAAGCCCATGGAAATCTGTCCGATATAAGCCTCACTACGCATCGCTTCAAAGCAAAGCAACAGCAACCAATACATCCCCTAAGGCCTAAACGATAACACGCCCGTCGTGCAAAACCCTTATTAAGCCTCTCCTCGCCCGCTTCCCACAGTAGCGCAGGGCAAGATCCTCCTTCAGCGCCGGAGTCGGAGGGGTCGAAGATGCTTCACTTTTCATCCTGCGCAGGCGCCGCTTCGCCGTGTTTGGGTGGTGGGGAGAAAGCCGCGGAGAAGCCGAGTAATTCGGCGCCTGCGCATCGGGCTCCTTCCTCGGCTCGCTCGAACTCTCGCGTGGTATCGCGGTGACTGGAGTCGGTTCCCGTTCAAACGCTGGCGGGAGTTGGACGGCGCCGGTCCAGATAAAGCGCAGGAGGAGGCGGGGAGTCCGCTCCGTTGTGTCTCGAGGGCCTTGTCCAATTAGCCGAAGGGAACTATTGTGCTGCGGCCTTTGGCCGCTAATACGCGGTGCGCTCTGTACATGCCCAGGAGAAATACTTAACCTCGTTGACGCTTGTTATCCACTGAGCCGAGGGAAGTTCCCGGGGTGCTGCTCTTCCTTGGGGGTTTGGAGGCCTCTGGAGAATTTACGGTATGTGTGGGTTGTATTTGCAAATACGTGGCTGGGGGTGCAGCCTTAAACGACGCCACCCCGCAAAGGCCATGGCTATCCAGATTGATTTGTATGCTGTCAGCTGATTGATAAGGCAGCTCTTGAAGATGAAGCTGGCATGCAAATAAAATGATTAAAATCAGTCAGTCATGATAAAACTCATAAAAGAGGTGCTGTGGATCAAACTTGTTGGGAAATGATGTCTTTAAATTCTAGGCTGTCAGTGAAAACCTAGTGATGGGGTCAATATGTTTCGTGCATCTTGAAATGGGGCTGGCATTTCCAAGTTTGAGAGATGAGCCAGCACATTCAAAACAAATGCCATATTGTATGGGCATGCCCCTTTTTCACATCAGCCCTCTGTGTAGTAGAGAATCTGCAAGGAGCATGATTGAAAAAGGGAGGTAACTTGCTGCTGGGTTCTTTATTCTTCACCCACTGCTGGATGTTGTGGTGCTGTGTTTTCCTCTGGTTTGTTTCATTCCTTGTGCCTGAGGTGGCCCCTGCACTTCATGCATCCTATAGGCTGCAGCAGTTTGTCTAGCAAACATGCAATGCTTCTTTCCTGTTCTTACAGGCTTTCAATATGGAGAATGAGAAGTCCAGGATTCCTATCTACAGTGTCCAACAGCCCAAAGTGATCAGTATGCCAACAGGTGTGTTAGGCTCTTGAGAGAACTACTGTATTGTTACACTATAGCTGTGTTTTCACCCCTATGTTGCTCATCCTTACAGCTGTGGCAGCCAGGATGAATCTCCCAGGCTCGGGGATGGCTGGAGAGCCTGTGGCCCTCCAGATGTTGCAGCACTCCAGCTCCCATTGGCCAATAGTCCGTGGTGATGGGAGCTGGAGTCCAGCAATTTTTAGAGGCCCACAGGTTCCCTCTCCTGCCTAGAATTTTCTAATAAGCTGCTTGCCCTGAGTTGAGCTCTGCCGTGTGATCAAACCTTAAGTTGGCACCATGTGCCCAGACCTTCCCTGAACCTGCATTGAAATGTCATCTAGGTAAAACAAGGGCCAAACTATTTACCTTTCTAAATGCCTGGTGTGGGTTTTTAGGGAGAGAAAAAGTGGGTCTTCAAATGCTGTTTAAATGTGGAGACTGAGGGAGGTGTTGTCAATTGTGTGAGTTATTGAGTTTCCTTTTGTTTTTAAATGGATTCCTTATTTGCAGATCCACATTCAAAAAAGCAATGTTTTGTCAAACCTGACCTGGGCCCCTTGAAAGCTCCTGATTTCACTTTTGGTGAAAATGTTCCTGTGCGTACTGCCCTCAAAGACACAAATCAAAGGTAAATATAAGTGTATACTACCATTGAGATTTTCTATGGAAGCTCTACTGAAAGTGCCCTAGACACTTGGGTTGCACTTGACTGGGATATGAAGAAATAGTCATCCTTCTTCAAAGCCATGCTTAGTTTTTGGAACTCCTTACCCATTTAGGCCTCTCTTCTACCAGCTGATCTGTTGTCATTATTGCCTCTACTCTATTTTATTATTGTTAGTCCTGCCTTCCCGCCCCTGCTTTTTTATAAAAACATGTTTAGATGTGCAGACTGCTTTGAGCACTTCTTTTAATGGAAAGGTGTTGTAAAATAACTTTTAAAAAGCGAACAAAGCTTGTAATCATTGGTATTTAACAACAAACATGACTGCTTGACATTTCTCAGCAAATGTGCTGCTTTATCCTAGAATCAATAGCTGCAAGTACAGCATTGCTATGCAACCTCTGCCAACCAGCTTCTGGTTTAATGTCCCAGTGGTGTCCAAACTTTTTTTCAAAGAGGATCAGATTTGATGAACTGAAGGGCCGTGGGGGCCAACCAAAGGGCCACCCCAAGGTTGTTGAGCTTTTTTTTTAGGATTTTACCCCAGGAAAGAAACTGCCAACTAACCAGTGGGCCGGATTAAGCCCGGAAACGGACTTTGGACATGCCTGCCCTAAGTGAATGTGAGCCCACCACCACCTGATGTAGTCTCATTCGGCCTGTACTATTCTAAGTTCTTTTACAGCTCAGGAGTAGGTTACTTGAGAGACTGCCTTATCCCTTATGCATCTAGTAGATTGTTGCAGTTTGCAAGTTTCTCCTGCAAGTGCCAAAGATCTCTGAAGCCTGCTCTATAGTAACTCGGAGCAAGACTTTTAGTGTGGCTGCCCCTGTTCTGTGAAATAGCATTTCTGTCAATAGCATTTCTATCTGCACTTTCTGGAAACAGTTGAAGGTTATGTTCGAACATACTTTACCAGCTGCATAATGGATCTGTACCCTGAATGCGCACTTGTTGGGATGGTTAGCCTTGTTTTAAATGTATTTGCCATTTTGTGTTCTTAATTGTTTTAAATTATTTTATGTGTAAAAACGCCTGGAGATGGTGGTTTGGAAGGTTTAATTATTAATTATTAAATTAATAATAATATAATTGATTCATAGGTTTCTCATAATGTTTAGCCAAAAGCTACTTCCTTGCAATTTCTACACTTGATGAAATGTATCAAATGGTGTGAAGGAATTTGGGGTTTAAATAATGGCAAATGTTCAGAGGATCAAGCTGCTAGTTGGTTTGGCTTTGTAATAATAATAAAAGCTACAAATATCATTATTTAACTCTATTAAGGTTCATGAAGAAGGCAACACAGCCACCACCTAAGAAAGCAGCAACGTCAAATGCTCGAACGTGAGTGCCCCAAAGCAAAGCTGTTTCTTACACATTTTCTTTCTCTGCTTCCTACTCATTCACAACATGACTATATATGTATATAGTTTTTTAATTCTGTTTAATTTTTTTGAATGATTTCTCCCCCTATTTTTTAGCGGTTCTTACTATTATCTGTAAGCCGCCTTGAGTCCCATCAAGGAAAAGGGCAGCCTATATAATAAATGTTGTTGTTGATTCCACATAGGAATGGATTTAGATCAAATTAACATTTCTTAAATGATTACCTCATTTAAGAAAACACAGAATATCATATAAACATCATGATGTATTTCTATGTTTATTTTGCATTATGTGATTTTTCTTTAAAGTCACCATGCAGCTTCAGTGTGCAGCTATATACAGTCATACCTTGGTTTTCGGACAGCTTAGTTCTCAAATGTTTTGGCTCCCGAACGCTGCAAACCCGGAAGTGACTGTTCCAGTTTGCAAACTAATTTTGGAAGTCAAACGTCTGACGGGGCTTCTGCGGCTTCCGATTGGCTGCAAGAGCTTCCGGACATTTTGGAAGTCGAACAGACTTCTGGAACGGATTCTGTTCGACTTCCAAGGTACAACTGTATATACTTTTGAATCCACGGTGAACACTGAAATGTCCAAGAGTAGTAAATAGCAAAGCTGTGAATGCTGTTATCATAAGCTGGTCAGAATGTTGCTTCTTGATTAGAATATTCCTCACATAGGGCTCTAAACTAGGAACTGCAAGTTTGCTGGATCTTCATTTTTCATACATTTAAAGATGAAAAAGATTTCGGAGCCAAGTCCTTGCATGCAAAAATGCATCCCTAATTACCCCCAAGCTTTCTTCACTTCAGCTGGGTTGCTGGGCGGGAGTCATTTTGTTGCTGCTATTGATAAATAGTTGGGAGTCAGAAATCCTTACCTGGGTAAATTACCCAAAGATCTGGTACACCTGGATCTACTTTCTCCCCTCTGCCCATGTCTTAAATGACAACTCATGTATATTTACCTCTTTCTATCTATGGTGTTCTGTGTGAGCTTTGTCTGAATGTTAAATGCAGACAAACTGCTCATCCACGATGCATCAGTGATATGTTTTTGATCCTATAGCCCTATGAGCAGATACAGACGGGAGGCTGAGCTCCGAAACAAGAACAAGCAGTTGGAGTCTGCTAAATGGGAAGTGAGCTCAAAGCTGATGGAAGCAGAGGTAGGAAACAAACTTGATTCTGATTATCCTAAAATGATCTCAACTGTGCACTGGGTTCCCCCCAGATTTCCAACACCCTTCTAAGAAGATTAAGTAAATTCATGGCGAATAAGGCCATTGATGGCTACCAGCCATGGTGGCTGTATGCTACCTCCCAAGATCAGAGGCATGTTGCCTCTGAATACTAGTAGCTGGAGAAGAACAGTGGGAGAGGGCTGATGCACTCATGCCATCTTTGTGGGCTTCCTATAGGAATCTGGATGAGCACTGTGGGAAACGGGATGCTGTACTAGGCAGCCCTTTTAGTCTGATCCAGCAGACCAAATCCAGGACAAGATGCTAAGGTATCTTGTCCTGGCATTGGCTCATTGGACTGTACTTGCCCAATGGGCCACACTGTGTGTGTGAAGTTATTTAAAAATACAGTGGTACCTCGGGTTACAGACACTTCAGGTTACAGGCTCTGCTAACCCAGAAATAGTACCTTGGGTTAAGAACTTTGCTTCAGGATGAGAACAGAAATCGCGCAGCAGCGACGTGGCAGCAGCAGGAGGCCCCATTAGCTAAAGTGTTGTCTCAGGTTAAGAACAGTTTCAGCTTAAGAACAGACCTCCGGAACGAATTAAGTACTTAACCCAAGGTACCACTGTATGTTACCAGATTTAAACAGGTTTTGAAAAGGCCATCCAAGAAATTGGCTTGTAGAAATATTGTTAATGCCTGCTCATGCTAGCGGTCTGTGCGGGGTGGAGGGCAGGCTTGCTTCCCTCTGGTTTGTAGTTTTTCATCCCTCCTGCGCCAGGCAAGCAAACCTTAAATGCTTGAAGGCCTAATAAAAACTGGTGCTCTGCTGTTTGGTTTAGTTATCTGTACTTGCAGAAAGATCTGAAGAATACGAAGGAGCAGTGTGATAGTCTGGAAAAAGAAAACCAGAAGCTGAAGAAATTTCAGGAGAGCTGCATGTTGATCTTGGCAGCTAGGAATTGTGATCCAGGTATAAAATACAGTTGCTTCTCTGCTCTCTCCCCTGTACGTATACATCTGCAGTATACTATCACTTTCTCCCAAATGTCTTAATGGAATTGAAATTCCTTGGATAAAGTTCCCTGTGATTCTTTCTTTCTTTCTTTCTTTCTTTCTTTCTTCCTTTCTTCCTTCCTTCACACTGGATGCAAGGAGGTTGCAGGGCCTTTTGGGACCTCCTGTGATCAGGGCACATACACAGGAACACCTGTACACTTCTAGGTGCTTCTTTTTGGTTATCCCACTGAGTGTATGGGAGTGCTGGAAGCAGGGTCAGGGGAATGTGCTGATATTGGGACCCCAGTGCCCCACATTTGCCTGCATGGAATGCATGTGTTTCACTGCTGAACTTATAGTCCCTTCCCATGCGATCACACTGTGATCTGCAGAATCTTTTAAATTTTAATTTGGTGTTTTAGATGGGGGGGGGTTTATTGGTTTGTGTGGGGCAGTGTTCTTGTTTTTATTATGTATCTTGTTTTTATCTTTATTTTTATGTCGTGAACTGCCCTGAGATCTATGAATGAATGGCAGTGTATAAATTTAATAATAAATTTTGAGTTGCTTATTAAGGATAGTCCCAGAACTATGGGAATGGAGGCCATGCTTCTGGTAAATTAATGGCATATGTATGGTTCTGACTTGTAAATGTTTTTTCCAATTAGCTACAGGTGACAAAATTTTGGAAGAGGATGAGGAGAACAAGAAGACACAAGCTGAAATAATGGTGAGAGAATGAACCTGTTTCCTCTTCCCTAGGAAACTGCTTGCCTGACTCTTCCCCGCCACCTGCAAAGTTTCTTCTATGTATTTTGCCAAGTTCCAGCTGTCATGGGTCCTAAATAACTACTGAGATACCTTCTGAATATCTCCAGGACAGGATTTGACAGAACTGCTGTCCCTGATGCATGGCAGTCAGTGTGATGACCTCTGCATGTTGCTAGGCGACTGTCGTCATTCCTGACCATTGGACATGCTAGCTAGACCTCACTTTGTCAACCCCTTCTTGTGCCTTTTCTTTCAGGACTTGATGGAGAAGCTGACTACTGACCTTGAACTATTCACCAAGATGGCAAAAGAGCAAAAAGAGAATCTTCAGGTAAAATACGAATTGTCTTCCTTCTCCATTACTGCCAACATACAGAGCATTTAAGCCTGACCACCACCACTGCTAGGTCTCTAGACACAGAGCCAACACCACACAAATTCCTTTCTTCTAAATGTTTTTTCTTCTCTGCTCACCTGACGCTAACCACACCTCCATATATGTATGCAAACTTCTTACTTCTGTTTGGCAAGAGGGGAAAGGCCTCAACTGACAGCAACTTCGCACTGCAAGCAAGCCACTTTGCAGAGTGATCTTGTACCTGCTAACTGAAAACAAGTCGTGTAAACCTTGAAGGCTAGCAAATTTATTATGGCATAAGCTTCATGGACTTCAGTACTTAATGTTTTTGCTGCCTTTCTGAAAACTGAAAATACAAGTTGTGTGTAGAATACATTAACTATTAATTTTCTTTCCTCGTAGAAGACACACGACAAATGGAAGCAGGTGGAGGAGGAACAGGCCCATTTCTTAGAGCAGGAGCAGTGTTTTCATAGAGAAATGGAAGATTTGTTTGCCATTTTGGATCAGGCAGAGGAACTCAATTCATCATAACAAGAACTGAGCCATGTAATCTTGTGCTGATCTGCTTCCTTATTGGACTCCAATATATAGAGCAGGGGTATCCCTTGGAACTTTATAGTTTTAATAATATTTAATAATAATAAGTTTGAAACCTTTTGGGTTTTTTCCTTTTTCTCTGTTTTGCTTTTTGTAAATAACTTTTTGGGGGTAATTAATTGATCAAAATAAAAGCAATTTAGAATGAGAATCATACGTAGGATTTTTTTTCTAATACAATAAAATAAATGAAAGAAGCAATATAAATGGAATTTTAAAATACAGCATCTAGTACAACTTATTACAATTGCTACATCAAGTATAGAAAGCATTGTGGTCTGTCAAGGCCAACAGCAGTTTTCAAGTAGTTCTTGGGGAAGTTTGGGAATCAGTGCAGTGATTCCCCCCTTTTGGGGGGGGGGTATATTTCTGATCAAATTAAAAACAGGATTTATTCTGTATCTATTCAATAAATCCACTCCTTTCTGCTTGGAAAATAGGAAAGCCTTCCTGTTTATTTCAGGACTGTTTACAACACTAGTATTACTGTACAGTTGTACCTTGGAAGTCGAACTGAATCCGTTCAGAAAGTCCATTCAACTTCCAAAACGTTCGGAAACCAAAGCGCAGCTTCTGATTGGCTGCAGCAAGAACATTTGGGTTCCAAAGAACGTTCGTAAACTGGAACACTCGCTTCCGGGTTTGTGATGTTCAGGAGCCAAAATGACTGTACCAAAGCACAACTGTACTTGGTTTCACTTTAGTATCAGGGCAGGACAATGAAAGACAATAGTAATGGAACTGCAGACTTGTGAGGCCTTGTTTCCTTAAAAAGTGAATTTACACAACTGCACCTGTTTATTCACATCCTGATGCTTGACTTTTAAAGGGGGGGGGAGAGCTGGACCATAAAGAAGGCTGATCGCCGAAGAATTGATACTTTTGAATTATGGTGCTGGAGGAGACTCTTGAGAGTCCCATGGACTGCAAGAAGATCAAACCTCTCCATTCTGAAGGAAATCAGCCCTGAGTGCTCACTGGAAGGACAGATCCTGAAGCTGAGACTCCAATACTTTGGCCACCTCATGAGAAGAGAAGACTCCCTGGAAAAGACCCTGATGTTGGGAAAGATGGAGGGCACAAGGAGAAGGGGACGACAGAGAATGAGATGGTTGGATGGTGTTCTTGAAGCTACCAGCATGAGTTTGATCAAACTGCGGGAGGCAGCGGAGGACAGAAGTGCCTGGCGTGCTCTGGTCCATGGGGTCACAAAGAGTCGGACACGACTAAACAACAGCAACAAGTCCTTATTTCAAGCCAGTGAAGTACTTAAGTTTAGCTTCTCATGAGCTATCAAGTACAGTGGGTGTATTAAGGTGCAAACTTGCTATTGGCTAAGTATTTAAAAATATTAAAGAGTTGGGTGGCAAAGCCTAGAGGAAAGGAAAGGTAAGGTAAGGTTTGTTGTGCAAAAAATTGCCATGTACACGACCACCCCACCAAGCCACAGGACATGAAATAAAAACCATACCAGATGAGTTCTGCTTTTTGTGGGGAAGACGACAATTAATAAATAAATAGCATAATCATACCCCCCCTTGCTTGCCATTTTTCTAAATTAAAAAGCCTGAAATGCTATAACATTTCCTTGCAGGGGGTTATTCCAGTCTCCTTGGTAATTTTGGTTGCCCTTTCCTGCTTCTATAAAATCGTTTCATGAGGCATGGTGTCCAGAGCTTCATCTTTTATTTTCGATCGTCTTCCCAACGATCCCCACCATGGAATTTGCCTTTCTTTTCCACGACAGCCGCACACCGGAAAAAGTACTTTTGAGATTTCACATCAAAAGGGTTGTGGGGTAGCGCGGGAGCGAAAGCGCCGCCCGCCGCGGGACCACCCAAAGCCTTGGCTTTGGTTGAGGCAGCGTCCTCGCAGCGATTGGCTCTTGTTTCTCCCTCCCACCCCTCTCATTGGGCAACCAGTCCCCACCCGCTAGCGCTGGTTGGTAGAGAAGGCCTCTGGGGCGGAGCCAGGAGCCTGGCGAGTCGCACAAGGAACCGAGATGGCGGCGGCGGCGGCGGCGCTGAGGCGAGGGGTGGCCGGCTGGGCCCGGCGCCGCTTCTTGGGAGGACTGTGGCAGGGGCGGCGAGGCTGCGCCGGAGCCCCGCTGGATGATACGGTTAATGGGCTGAGCGAGGAGCAGCAGCAGGTACAGCGGCGGAGCCCTGGCTGGGCTGAAGGTCGCTCGCCCGGAGACTTTCTCTGCGCCTGCTCCGTCCAGACCCCGCGCCGGAGTCGCGCTTCAGAGCCGCGCTCCTCTTGGCCTCGAAGGGTCCCGCCCCGTCAGGTGCTGGCGCAGGGCCTTCTCCTGCGAAAGGCCAGTTCTCAACAGGGCTTTGCTCTGGACCACATGAAGCAGTGGTCGGAAAGACGCGAGCGCCTCTGAGCGCCTGCAGAGTGCCCGCTCCACCCCTCCCCTCAGTATTGGGTTTATCGTGTCCCCAAATTTCTAATACGGTGCAGGACGACTTCCGAGTTTGAAAGGGCAACTTGTGGGCAGCCCTGATTCCATCTTCTTCCCAGCGCAGCAACTAACTTTCTATTATTTTACAGGGCTGCCCTTTATAAGTTCCACAGCTGCAAGTCGGCCTGGACGTCTTTTATTCTGGAGCGAATGAAAGGGTCCCTGTGTGAGATCTCATGTTGATGTGGACACAGATTTGCACCCTTAGCACAGCAGTTAATTCGGAGTAGCTGCCCTTTCTTAGTTACAGTCACCATTGCAGATTAATGTCTCTACTCCACTCCTAAGTGTACTAGGAAGGGTGATAAAAGGTCACTCTTTTAATGGCCAGACGAAATGTAGTGAATTGGTTTTCTTTCTCTTACAAAAATGCAGCCGTGGAGGCTGTGATTGAGCTTTTCTCCTCTTCTGGGTTTCCTGTTAAAACAAGTGCTTCCCACCCACCCTTTCTCTCCTGCCCCCCCAAACTTTGGTTAAGGGGTGGCAGCTAACAACCAGCATCAATAACAAAGCCACCAGATAGGAAGCAGTCATCAACCCCCCTCTCCCACAACTTGTGGCAGTCCTCTGCTTTAGATTGCAGGTTCATTTGTACATGAAATACCTTTGGGTGGCAGTCACATGTAGTTTAGTTCAAAAGTTAGGGGGTATATGTTTTGTTCAGCTCTATCTGGAAAAACCTGTTAAAGCTACTAGATTCCAAAATGGCTCAGGTAACTAGATTTTCTTCTAGGATGGTGTAAGCCAGATAGCTCTTCCAAGTTTTTTCAGTCAGGGAATAAGATAACAGAGCTTACCAGCATTCTATCAGTAATTTTCAATATAAAGGACAATATTTCCACTATCCCTATGCCTTTAAGAATGAGTGTCAGTTTCCACCAGTTCATTTTCTTCCTTTGTGTCTCCTTGAAAGATTGTGCTGCTAGCCTTGGAAAATGTGTTTTCTAAATCTTAGTCAGCGACTTGTAGCTGCTTATGGTCCTCGTGACACAATGGCACAAAGTCAAGGGAGGGAGTGTCTAAATTTCAGTTAGGCTCTTGCAGCACTGCTCTCTTCAGATGCAATTCTAAGTATGATTTCTTGGCAACTTAAATTGTACTGGAACCAGTAGGATTTCCAAGTAAATACATTGTCTGAGTTATTTCTATCCTGTCTTTCATGGCAAGCTCCCACAAGGCAGTTTGGAATGACTTTTAAAACCAGTACAATAAATAATATAGATCAAAAGCAGCATCTGATACAAATACATAAGGACTCGGCAATGAAATGAATAAAAAGTTTGTGAGGGGAAACATTTAGGGTCTGTTTTGAAGGCTTGCAGAAGTGAGTTAGACTTGAGTTCATGGGGGAGGGAATTCCACAGATGTGTTTTAGGATCAGGTGGGTTGTCTCTTATGTTCTGGGATTACTGCTCAGTTGTAGAACGTACGTTTTGTGTGGGTGCAGAGTGCCATCTGTGACTTGGGTTGCCTGTGCTGGAATTACCTCTGCTGGAAACCCTGGAGGGCCACTACCAGTTCAGAGAGGCAGGTTTGGAGAAGATACATAGCTGATGTGATTTAGTATATACTAGCTCCACTGTAATCTTTATAGTATACGGTGTGTGTAGCAGTGATGTAGCGAAACCTTTTATAGCTTATCAAGCAGTGATTTGGCTGTAAACCTCTCATGCTGCGTCCATCCATTTTAGTGCAGTTTGTTTCTCCTGTAAAAAGGGGGGCTAATGATACTTGATCATACAGGTTTTTAAGTGAGTTTTTTTAAAAAAAGAAGTCTTTATTATGCCCAAATGATAGATTCTTGTTATGTACATACTACAGCATCTCATCCAATAGTAGCATTACAGAGCAAGTCCCAACTCCCATATCAGTTAAGAAGAGGCTGAAATGTTCCTCTATTAGTGGGCACTATTATATTTGCAGAAGGCTCTATGAATGTAAATCTCCCCTCAGTGGAAGACCTCAAAACAGAGTGTTTCAGGGCCAGTGACAGCCAAGGCCTTCTGCTTCTGAGGCTTCTCCATATTCCTGAGAGACCCCAGGATCCCATCCATCAGTTTGGCTCAGTCCGCAGTCTTGGGCCATGTATTGCATGCAGCATTCTTTAGAATGGCTCTGTGGGGTTTGATTTGGTTTTGCTCGCTTTGGGACTTTGAAATGTCACATTGCTTGCTTAGTTGAACCATCACTTTTTCGGTGTTGGCCTGCTGCATAGATAGGCCCAAGGGTAGTTGGGAATTAGTGTGAACTTTCTTCTACCCATCCACACACCCAAGTTCTTTTGGTATATTTTACCATTAAATATTTTAACCAGAGCCAACAAACGTCTTCATGTTACTAGGTAGGGGATAACTGTTTAAAAACCAGATTAAACCTATTTTAAAATATCAAGAGATACACATTGTAGACTAGACAGAAAGTGCTTTGTCAGTAACTTCACAGGTTTCAGCTGCCACCATAGTTAGCGCTAAATAGTTTTATTGACAGTAAGTGGGAATTTAATAGAATATTCTGTTCCAGGCTTGAGATATCAAAGAAAAACAGCTAGGGAACCTTTTTGATAGCATTCAAAGGAACTTAGCAATTGTGATTTATAATGTTCACTTTTACATTTTCATTTCTAACAGCTTCGGCAAACTATGTTCAAATTCTGTCAGGAGCACTTGGCTCCAAAGGCCCAAGAAATTGATCAGCAGAATGAATTTGCAGGCATGAGGGTAAGTGCTTCTGTACTGTGAACCTACTTACTATATAACATGACTTCGGGAGATGCATGAATGTAATTTAAAGGGTGCAAATATGAAGGGTTTGAGAAAGTTACAAAATGCCTACCCATTAGAAAGAATAAACAACTAAATCCATGAGGGAAAAGGACATGTATGCCATTCAGCAAGAATGAATAAAATATACATGTTTGGTATTGTTTCTGTCTTATTTTTCAAAGTTTTCCATCTCCGTTACCTGAAAGAGTATGTCGCCTCTCCTGAACATGTAAATCTTTTCATGGAACCTTCTTCAGGTTGTAAAGAGTTAACTGTTCCAGATGCTGGGTTTCTAGAATATGGGATTTAACAGATTCCCTCTTGCGTTAATTGTTAATGAGCTAGAGATATTTTTATGGGACTTCCTGCTTCTCACTGTTTTTATAAGCCCTGCAGTACATGGAAACTTCATATGTACTAGAACTTTTATACCTGCTGTGCTTCACAGAGAATTACTTTAAAATGTTTGCAATAGCCTTTTATGGAATCAATTTTTGAGTGCTGTGGGACCTTGCAATTGAATTATATGGTGTCCTTCACCAGGATAGTTTGGAAAGGTAACCAGTTCTCAGAAGTACAGAAAGTAAACAAAATGACTACAGTTATCGGCAAGTGTACCATTTCCAGAAGGTCAATCATGCAAAATAACCATTACCAGTAAGTTACTTTGTAAATAAGCCCACAAAATTAGGACCCTCCCCCCACCCGGAGGGGAATTGTAATGGTCCGTTGGAGTCTGGAAAATGGCTCTGCCCATTTTCTGGCAGCCCATTTGCCTTCCAGGCTGGGCACAGAGAAGGGGCAGGTGTCCTATCTATCCTCTAACATAATTATGCAACTTCTCCTAGAGAAAGAAACTTGAAAAGCATAGATTAAAAGGTAACACCCCCACCCCACCTCCAGAAATCAAGGCTATCCGTCCTGACAATGTTCTAGGCCCAGAGAGCAGCAGTGCTGCAGTAAGGCATTCGTCTAGAAAACCACTTGAGGACTACTGCAGTGTCAACGTATATAAGGCAGGGGAAGTCAGTTCCCCGTCTCCATGTGCCTCCATCTTCCCAGGGCAGCTGGGACATTTATGAGACATAAATTCCTTCTTTGCCTTGTATATACAAGCAAAAGCCGTCCAATGAGTCCCTCCAAAGGGAAGGGCAGTAACTCAGTGGCAGAGCACATGTTTTCATGCAGGAGCTCTTGGTTTCAATCCCTGGTGCGTCCCGCTAAGCTTCAGCTGCTAAAACATCCAAGGCAGGAACTTCCGGGGTGGCGCCATTGGTAATGGCGGACTCCCTCTGATCCGGAGGGACTGGCTGTACGGGAATCGGGTCTGTTCTGCTACGGCGAAGCGGGGACCCTTGAAAAAATCATGGATTTAGTTGTTTATTCTTTCTGATGGGTAGGCATTTTGTAACTTTCTCAAACCCTTCATATTTGCACCCTTTAAATTACATTCATGCATCTCCCGAAGTTGCGCAGCTCTCCCACGGCTAGCGGAGAGCTTGCCGGCACCCAGAAGCTTGGGGCGCGCTGAGCTCAGCACGCCCCAAGCTTCGGGCTTCGGGCTTCGGGCTTCGCGCAGCGCTCCGCTAGCCGTGGGAGAGCCGTGCGACTTCGCGCAGCTCTCCCACGGCTTGCGGATAGCAGCCTGTTCTGGGGGCTGGAGTCGGGGGAAGCTCGGGCTTCCCCTGCCCCAGCCCCGCACCTGGGGAGGAAATAATTTTTTTTTCCTTTATTTCCCCCCCCAATAAACTAGGTGCGTCCTATGGGCCGGTGCGTCCTATGGGGCGAAAAATGCAGTAACACAACATAGGTTGTGAGCTTACTGTATAATCCAGTCCCTTCATTTCTCCTTCTGTGTCTTGTGTTCCCCATCCCACAGAGACCTTTATAGCAGATATGTGACACATGTTTTGACTACCTGGGATCACCTTGTGGAAAATAATGTTGTATAGACTCCTTTGATCTTGGTGAGCTAATGATTGTCTGCAAAATGATGGCAGAGTGCTTGTTTTGAGCTTGCACCAGAAATACTATCAGGTTGGGTTGCAGAATAGCCACATGTCTGGAGCCATGTACATTGAGGGTGCTATATAAATGCTTATAATGTTCATCACATTCGTGTAATGCAAGTTCATGTCTTAACTTATTTAGGATTATAGAGTGCATCGTTCTGATGGCTCTAGCTGGGCAGCAGCATGGAAGAAGTTGTTAATTTTTTTTAGTATTTCTTAATTTTTATGGAACAAATCTTTAGTGGATGTGAAGTATTCAAGGTGGCTGTGACCTTCTGTTTCACAGCAGGTTCCATGACAACCATTATTTTGCCCAGCTTTTTGCTTCTGTGGGGAAATTAAAATGATAGGTTCAGGGAGATGATAGAAAAAAAACCTGGTTCCTGGTCTTGTGAAAGGTTAGGGTCTCTCTAACAGCTTTGCTCTGCTCTTTGTAGGCATTCTGGAAGAAGCTGGGTGATCTAGGTGTTCTAGGAATAACTGCTCCAGGTGAGAGTGTAGCTAGCCCTGCCTTCCTCATTCTGGCAAAATATGGTATATTTAAGTGGGAAATGCTGCAGTTAGTAATGTCTGTGAATGAATAATTGGAGATCAAGGGCTTGAGGGGAAAACAGACCCAATTAGCTCACTGGCAATTTGTCAAAGGCCAAGGCTGCTGAGGTCTAAAAGAACACCTTATAAATGACATGTCTTCTATATGGATATTGCCTTTGTTTGGAAAGAGTGTGTACTTTTGTTACATGTGGCAAACATATACATGCCTCTGATGGAGCACGCACACAAAGGGAGCCCTAGTTGTCGCATATTGCATGCGCCACTAGGAGTTAGTCATATGAAATATCTCCCACCATTTCCTAAAGTTGTAACTGTGTAATTCATTCATCACTGCCTGCTCTCTTTGTTGTTTGCTTCCCTCTGACTTCACTTCTGCCCCACCTCCTGACGGTATGTGCATATATGCCTGCCAGTTTGGGATTACACTTCATGCATCTGATGAGTGGAGTGGAGTACAAGGAAGCCTATGGCGTTATAAATCTTAACTGTGTCACAAGGCTCTTCGACTGTGGTCTAGGTAAGTCTATAAATATTTTCTTCTCCTTACCAGCTGAATATGGTGGCTCTGCGATGGGATACCTGGACCACGTATTGGTGATGGAAGAGATTTCTCGGGCTTCCGCAGCTGTTGGGCTGAGCTACGGTGCCCACTCTAACCTTTGCGTCAATCAGATGGTGAGGAACGGCAACGAAGCACAGAAAGAGAAGTACTTGCCCAAGGTATGTGGAATCGTGGAGTCTGATGCATCCAGGGAACCAGAAGCATGCTGGGTAACAACTTCAATTACAGAACATGTTTCTTAGAGCAAAGAAAAATAATGCTCCAAAATTGGACACTTTGCCCCCATCATTTTATTTCAAATTTAATTTTATATTTCCAAGCATTTATTTATTATTAAATTTCTACTTTGCCCTTCCTCCCAAAGGCACCTGGGGTGGCAGATATAAAAAAACTTAAATAATTTAGTTAAATATGAGAAAACATATAAAAAACCATCTAAAACATTATTAATGAAAAGTCATTTTTTTAAAAAAAAACAACCTGAACTCAATAGCTTTAAAAAAAAAATCTTCTGTTTTGTTTCTACAAGTAAAAGTCACAGATATTTGGGAGAAAAGACTATTGGTTTGAAATCCAAATGTGCAATGAAAGCTTAAGTACATTTACTCCAGAGCAAGTTCCACTGAGTTACATCAGACATATTTAGAATTGCATTTTGTTGAACCAGACTGGCATCCGCCTCCCACCTTCGGCTTGGAAGGTGCAAGCTGGAAAAGTCTGCATTCTTGGCTTTGGTATCCCTCTGCCTTTTTCAGAATTTAGTGTAGAATAGTTAACACACACGCTATTAAGTAGAGGCAGGAATGGCATCTGGATTTCCATGAGGTTGATTAACACATGCAAGTTGATCACTTGGTGGATGATCTGTCACAGAGCAAACGTGAATGTTTCATATTCATAAACTTGGCTGTCCTCCTATCAAACATCATGTTTTCAGTGGAGTCGGTTAACATACCCAGCTCTGAGTCATCGCTGTTCGAAACTGCCTTATGTGTTTCATCAGGAGCAGGGGAAGCTGTTGTCGTATCTGTCATATAGCACCAGGCACACTTTGGTCCCCTGTAGTGAGTCCTAATTTGCTTTCTAAAAATTCAAAACTTCAGACTGTTCCGACATGCTCTGCACACCAGGGTATTTACCAGCTTGTCCTTTGCTGCCATGGATGGTCTGTTGCTAGTTTTGGGAAGAAGAGGAAGCACTTGAGAGTCATGGGGTGCTTCTGCTGACAGAAAACAGGTTGAAGAAGGCCCTGACAGCATCATCATCTGTTGTGCCCTTAAGAACAAACCAAAACTTCAAGGCTACCTCAATCTCTCCATGCTGTTTGGCACACAAGAACACTCCCCGCCCCCCATGATCAATTTCCAGTGCGATAGTAAAAGCACTAAAAATAGCACAGCACTATTAAAATCCCTTTCCTTAAGAGCAGTCAGTTCCCAAAGGCCTGCTGGAATAAACAGTCTTCACCTGCCAGATGACTAGGAAAGGTAGGATTCTCCAACTGGTGTTCTTTTATGAAAAGTCTACAGGGGCCACATGAAACAGGGTTTTTATTTAGTTGGGGGTGAATTACGATGGAACCCAATTTTTGCATTTTTTGATTTTATAATACATTCCTTTTTCTTAATCTACTACTGTCACCCAAATGAATGAACAGCTTCCACTTCTATATCTAATAAACAGCCTTTGCCCATCTGAGCGCAGGATGAAACTTGTGTGGTTTGAATCTCAGTAACCTGAGACACTTGTACTCAGCATTCCATTATACATTTGAAATCATAAATCAATATTAGTAGAGGGGTGTTGCGGTTGGCCATGATCTCACAAGTGATTGGCTATGAAATCTATTTCACGTGTAAACCAAAGAAGTTTGAAAGGGAATAGACTGTGTGTGGGGAGAGGTGGACAGGAGGAAATTGATGGGGGGGGGAGGCAGCAGCTGCTGTGCCAGAGGGTGGTGTAAGGGAGCCCAAAAGGAGGGTCACCACCTGCTAATCTATTGCAAGGGTCAAAGACTTTAGTTTATTGCCTACCATTCTGGCATCTTGTCCCATTGCGCTGATTTATTCCATACACTGGAGAGTCTTGTTCTTTGTGAATTGCCCTTTTTGCAAGTGTCTTCAAACCATCTACCCCATCCAATCATCCATTTCCAAAGGACAGCACAGGATAGGGAATTAAGAGGGACATCTATATCCCCTAGCACAGTTTGCTTGGCACTCTCTCCTACCTAAGGAATCCAACTAAAACTGTAGGTTTTAGTTTGCCACGTCCTCATGAAACTGCAATGTCTTGATTTTTGTGCCATTCCTTAAATAGTAGACCTCATTGGAGAATTCTGCCAAAGGTAGTGCCCCCACCATAGCATGAGAAAACTTTCAGGTTTATTGTGATATGTTTTTTTTAAGGCAAGAGTGGGAATGACTGCAGGAAAACAATTCATTTTGTATCTTTCTTGTCACCTCTTGTCCCTTCAGCTGATCAGCGGGGAGCATGTTGGAGCACTAGCAATGAGTGAATCCAATGCTGGTTCTGATGTTGTCTCTATGAGGCTGAGGGCAGACAGAAAAGGTAAATGCCACCGATTTGGAATTTGCCACCTGCAGTGACCTTTGGACATTGCTGTTTAAGCATTTCTGATCCTCTATGCATTTTGTTTTGTCCATTCATTGCCAACACAAGTCTGTGTGTGTCTTTGCATCCTCCCAAACAGAATAGCCAAGGTGGTCTAATGGCTGGAGTGTCTGAAGACCTGGGAGACCAAGGTTCAAAACCCCACATGGCCATGACGCTCACTGGGTGACCTTGGGCCAGTCGCTGTCTAACCTTTGTCACAGGATTGTGTGGGGATTAAGTGAGGAGAGGGAGAACCGTGTACACCACCTTATGCTCCCTGGAGAAAAAGATGGGATATAAAATGTGATAAATAAATAAATTAAATTGCAGGAAATGGAAAGGGGTAATCCAGGTGTAAGAAGGGCATGAGCAGGCCAGAGGTTCCACCCCCCAATTTCAGCTTCATTGGGATTGCTGAAAGGCAGGAGTGGAGAAGACAAATTTCTGGTTTTCAGAGGTCCCATGGCCTTAAAATAGAAATTGAGTGGTATTGGGAACAAGAGCTGGGGAAGAAACTGTATATGTAGAAGCCGGGTTGAGAGACAAAAACTTCAAAGTTAAGGGAGTGTGTGATGTAAATTACAGTTTTCAAGATACACTGGCCTGTAGGCTAGGCATCCTGTTGTGAATATTTTGAGAATCAATATATATTTTAGCATGTATTTATTTACGAAAATTTATTATATAGTGTTTGATACTAGTAAAACCTCTAAGTAATTTACAAGAAATATTTAAAATTATCAATAAAAAAGCAGTTAAAAGCAATTTGAAACATTTAAAAATGATTAAAAATTAATATTCAAAAAGCATCAAATTGCATCAGCATCTGCAAGTCTGGACAGCCTTGCCTAAACAAAAATGTTTTAAGCATGGGGGCAATTCTAGCCCTACTTTTCAAGAGAGCTGGCTGGTTATAGAAGAAGCCAGCTATAAAACTGAGCTGTGTAGTGTCTGTATTATTTTTTTGCAGTAGAAGATGCAGCTCTGCAAATTTTTTCTTTTTCTTTTTCTTGATATGCCAGACCTAGGAATGGAGGAAATCAGATTTCCAGAAATCGAGAAGAATTACTTGTGGAATGTCAAGCTGTCATGTGGGTCTTAACAGAATTTTCTGCTTGTTTCATCCTTTCTAGGAGATTATTTTGTTTTGAACGGGAACAAATTTTGGATTACCAATGGTCCAGATGCTGACGTCCTAATTGTTTATGCTAAAACAGATCCAAGTGCTGTTCCAGCTTCTCAAGGGATAACAGCATTCATTGTGGAGAAGGTAGGTTTATGGGACAGTGATGCTCCCTCTTTTTATCCCCAAGGAAGATATTTTCCAGGTGGTGTCTGGTCACTCTGGTGTGAGATTTCTTTTTTTGGGAGGGGGAGAGACAAGTCATGCTTTTGTTCCTACCCCTTGACTTGCACTTCAGAATGAATTCAAAATTCTTCCCTGCTGAATGAATCTACAATGGTTGCTGAAGTAAGCTGTAGGCAGGGGATAGCACTTGTCATTCAGAAGTTTGCCGTGCTGCTCTGTGGCACATGGAACAGAGCCAGGGAATCTGTGCTAATGTTCCCTGAAAGTTCTGGGCAAATGCCACATTTGGGTCCCTGTGAGGAGAGGATTCTCCTGGGCCAGCTCTACAGATGGTAAAGTTGGACATTTGGCCAGACACCAGAGCCAGCAAAGGACCTGCCATCCAGTGTTCCACTTTGAGAAGAAGACACGGGGGCTCAGGTCTGCCTGGAAACAACAGAGTTCACTCTGATTGGGGTGTTTGTTCCCTAATATCTGAAGTTCTTGACTTGATGATGAAGGAAATAAACTTGGGATTATCTGTAGGCACTTTCATGTTTCAAATATTTTAATCCTCTCCCTGCTTATCCTCTGAATTGTCATGCAGTGTGCCATCATTCGATCGGCCTCTTTATAAAAAATGGATTTTTCCAGTAGTTCTTCCTCCCCTTTTCTTCAGGGTACACCTGGTTTCAGCACTGCACAAAAGCTTGATAAACTGGGAATGAGAGGGTCAAATACCTGTGAATTGGTCTTTGAGGACTGCAAGATTCCTGGTGAGTGATACTGAAGTTGCACTGCCTCCCTAATCCATGGCAACTCTTTCCTTATTTATATTTTCTAGTCATTGCAATGTTCAAATATGTGTACAATGAAAAGTTAGAAAAAATAAAACCCAACATGAAAAGCATATGTTATTTAATAGTTCAAGCAAGTGATATATAAAAGCATCATCAAATCTACTTGGCTCATCATTAGTTTTGTTTTGCAATATTAATCTTATCAAGCTTGACTAGAGAGGAAGGTCTTAATTGTCCCTTGAAGGGGGCAAGCTTGTGGACCTGCTCCACACTTCTGGAAAGTGGACCAAGACTGAAGGTGATACTACTGCGAGGCCATCACTTGAAAGACTAGCCAGGATAGGCTGCCACATTTACACTCACTGTGGCTGATTTATGTCCCGTGGAGAAAACCGAGATTTCTTCCTTGGTTCCCTTTGTGTGGTGGCAAGTTCTTCCCCAACCACCCCCAATTTGCAGGTGTTACTGAGAAGCTCTAGGACTGATTGCTTGCACCCTCTTTCCCAAGGACAACTTGGCAGATTTACAAACTTTTCGGAAACACCAATGAAATGGCTGCTGGGCTGCCATTTTTCCTTACAGTCTGCTTCCGATCCTTCCAGTGTGCTCTCGTGGCCACAGGCTCCCTCTCTTCAGCGGAAGAGATTAGTAGCAGTACCAAAGAACACATGTTCTTTTTGAGACTCCCTCTGATCTCCCAGGACCACTTCAATCGTTTCTCAGTGTCGAGCTGCTTCAGTAGATTCCTGCATCTCCAACGCAACATTTCCCTTAGATCAGAGTGTGCTTTTGAGTGTTTGCCACCCCTTCTGCTGTATTAGCGTCGGTTGTCATTGGCGCTCCACCAAGTGTTGCGCAGGTTCCTTTGATCGTGAGTGCTGCCCCACGGAGTCCCACTCTTAGGTCACACAGCAATGGTCAGGAGCGGATTTGGAAAGCTCATCTTGTATTTTGCCCAAGGCGTAATTGTTGAAGGTACATTCAGGGAATTCAGATGCAGCTTTTTCCTTTTTTGTTTTTTGTATTTCACAAGCAGTTACTTCATGCAGTTTCTCTGTTCAGCAGCATTACTCATGCTATTTGCCAACTGGTTTTTTTTTTTAAATTTAATTCTGTGCTCCCACCCATGAGCCCCATGCTTCCTTCCTCAGTCCCTGCAGGTTGGGAGGGGAAATCCAAATTCATCAATTAAGATCGGTATGTGGTGTGGAGTAACACCACTGATTCAGGCACCATTTGCAGTGCAGAAATTGATACAGTGCTGGCCTCATGCTCATGGGATGCCAGCACATGCAGGAAACAACACTGGGTTAGTGTTATGTCTGAACCAGCGATCCTCTTTTTCTCCCTACAAACCATGATCTCTAGCTAAGGTGTGTTCTTGGCTCACTGATCATGAGTGGTTGGAGCAAAACGAATCACAGTTTGGATATAATGCCAAGTCTGGAATCATAATTTCCTTCTTGTGAAGGAGGAGCAAACTGATGAAGACCAGCGCTTTTATGGTAAACCATTAACTATGGCTTCCCATAATGTGTGAACAGGGTGAAAAAGTTGGCTTAAGTCAACTGAATGCATATGTATGCCAAATTTTGTAATACATATATATTTTAGTCTAGAACTCATGAGTCTCCTGTCTGTAGCAGGCACTTGGAATCATGCTGCGTTCAGCATTCTGATCACCAACAGATTAAAACAAGTTCCCATTGAAGCTAATTCATGTATAATTTGATCTGTCCCTTAGTAACGATGCCAAGACGTAGGCCATAAACACAGTTAGCTGTTTTGTGCAAGGTACATGAGCAACTGAGATCGTGTTGCTGCTTTCTATTTGTTTATGTTGCTTGAAAATAAAAAGTGATGTTTGAGTGTAAGGTGTAACTGTGTTTGTGCTTATATACCTGGACATACTCCCATGTGAGCACACATACATAGACGCACAAGGAACACACTATCTAGGATTGTGTAGGTTCGCCAGGAATCAGCTTTCCCTTGTTCCTCACAGCTGCGAATGTCTTGGGGCAACTGAGTAAAGGAGTCTATGTGTTGATGAGTGGCTTGGATCTGGAGAGACTTGTGTTGTCTGGCGGACCCCTGGGGTAAATATGTATTTATTTATTACTCTAGTGACATAGCTTGTTGTGCTTCGTTGGTTCTATTAATACAAGGAATCACCACCACTTTGATGGCTGGAGGGGGGTGCTCATCTTTTTATGTACTAGTGACCTCACACAAATGCTGTGCCACAGGACAGCTTGAAAACGGCTGTGGTAATTGTGCAAATCCCATCAGCTATGTGGATAGTCTGTTTAGACACGGCAGATATTTTGCTCTCTTAATGAGAGGACCTACCCTTCTCCCTAAATGTAGAGATGCCATGGGATTCTCCCTGACACGAAACTCTTGCCTTTGGGAATCCTTGAAAAGCAGCGAGACCTTGGCTAGGTCTTGGCCAGCCAGAGTTTGTGGACCCTGAGTTAATACTATTGCCAACTACAGAGTAGAATGCCCTGTGGCATATTTTTGCCCCTTTTATTTTTAATATCCAACCTGATGGAGACTTTTGATTAAAATTGAAAGCTTCCCCCCTTCTTCGTAGCTTATTAGTGTGTTCTAATAACAGTAGGATTACAGGCCTTGGATCACAGAGGACTCTGTCCTTTTGGCCATTACTACCTACTACATGGACCAGCAGCAGCTTTCGAGGATCTCAAGCAGAGAGGCCTTTCCCATCACCTGCTACCTGGTCTCCCTGGTGACCCTATTAACTGGGGTTGCCAGTGATCTAAGATAGGATTTTCTGAATGGATTAGTGCCACCACTAAACTGGTTCCTAACCTACTATGACTTCTGGATTTATTTAATTATTTTTAGTGGACAAACAGCTACATGCATTTGTTAAAATTTACAGGTTTCTCTATGGCAGGAGATGTTATCCTATCCAACCATCCATCTATCCATCTAAACATACCCATGTGGGTATTGCAACATCTCATTTGTGACTTTTTCAGTTTACCTGTAGGCTACTTTTTATTGTTATTCCTGCTTTTGCAGCTCCTTTAGTTTTTTGGTTTTATGGATTGTATTTTGATGATGATGTTTTGATGTTTTGATTGACTCTCTATAAGCCATCTTTTCAAAGGCAGGATGGAAATCTTTAAAATCTGCATGCCTCTTTCCCTTGCAGGATCATGCAGGCTGTCCTGGACCATGCGCTCCCATATTTACATGTGAGGGAAGCTTTTGGACAGAAAATTGGACATTTTCAGGTGAGAGCCATAAGAGGGTTGCCAGTGAACTTTTAGAGCCTGCTTTTAGAGCCTGCTTCCTTTTACAGTTGGATAAAGCTGGTTTTGGCTCAATCTCTCTTCCTCAGATAAATATTTCCACCTAAAGCTGTGATGCTGCTTGTTTCCTAACAAGCAGTTCTGAAGCTAACCATTTCCCCCAAGTTCCTTTTTAGTTGCTGGCTGATTTTAAAGTAACACTGAAATGTCTCCTATTGCTAGAACCTCATGATAATGTGCATTCAGAAATTTAGGGCTTAGGAGAAATCCAGGGTTTGCTTTTGATTTGCTGATTATGGCAGCTGATGTTAGCTTTGAAGAATCGGGTAACTATTTCAACTTTAGTTGGCTTTGGAATTGCAGTGTGCCCTACTAGATGCTTGTCTTTTTAGCGGTCAACCAAACTCTCTTTTTTAAATATATAGGCAGGTACGTTTAAGTCTGGGTTTTTAAAAATAGGATCCAGGTTGCTGCTGTCCGAATGCTAAATTTATGCAGCAAGCCCGCAATTTATGTGCATTTAACTTGTGCACATTCAGCTTTATGCACGTGGCAAAATAAATAAATAGATAAATAAGGGGGCGGAGGAAATGACTTTGGCAGTCCCACATGCCGTTGAACCTAATGTGTTTTGACTACAGTGGTACCTCTGGTTAGGAACTTAATTCGTTCCAGCGGTCCGTTCTTAACCTGAGATACCACTTTAACTAATGGTGCCTCCCACTGCCGCTGTGCGATTTCTGTTCTCATCCTGAGGTAAAGTTCTTAACCCAAGGTACTAGTTCCAGGTTAGCAGAGTCTGTAACCCGATGTGTTTGTAACCTGAGGTGTTTGTAACCCGAGGTACCACTGGATACACAACTTTGACTTTAGGCACTGTTCCCGGAACGTAACCCCTATGTAGGTTGCGGGCTTCCTGTAACTTTTAACTTGATAATTTTTATTGATTTATTTTATGTGTGTATACTTGTTGCCATCTTGATTGTTTTTATACTAAGGATAGCAGCAAGGGGTGATAAAAATTGTGAAAATAAATCCAAATATCTCTCTCTCCTTATGCTCTGATTAGCTCATGCAGGGTAAAATGGCTGATATGTACACACGGCTGATGGCTTGTCGACAGTACGTGTACAATGTCGCAAAGGCCTGTGATCGAGGACACTGCAATGCAAAGGTGAGCTCATGGGTGCTTGCAACATTTCTTTTTGACCCTACTGTATTTTGTGTAAGCAGGAGGGGTGAAGAATCAGTAGTGTAAGAGACTTAAGTCCACAGTAGAAAATATATGATGTTTTGAATACTCTCTTAAAGGAGACGAATACTTCCTTGCCCACCTGGCAATGGCTTTCCTTTTGCATATAGATGCAGCATGATAAATTGATGTGGTACTAGAATATTTGTGCCACTTGCTTTTGCCACTAATATAGCTTTCATGTGCTCTAATCATGACAACCTAATAGGATAGACAACGGAAGTGCTGTCTCTTAACTTAAATTCCATGTGTACCTAAAACGTAGCATGAAGCCATGAATGTTGTGGTTTCTGTTGCAATTTGCAGGTGGGTGGGGGTATTCAGAGCTTAAGGGACGCATAACAATGTCCTCATCTCGGAAGAAAAGGTGGGTGCTTCCTTGTTGGTAACTATGGTGCGAATTCGAAATCTGGTTTGGCTAGAAAGACGACTGGCTTGGACAATTCTGCCAGTCGCTTGTGTGGGGTTGGGGCCAGAAGAGCTGAATGTCTATCTTGGAAGTTCTTCATTGAAAATGATCTTATCTGCTCCACCAGGATTGTGCAGGAGTGATTCTCTACTCTGCGGAATGTGCTACACAGGTCGCTTTGGATGGAATTCAGTGTCTGGGTAAGATCATAGATGTGCATGTGGTTGTCCCACCAAAAGGCAGGCTGACCTAGCAGGCAGTTGCGCAATTTCATGCCATCTTGTTACCCTGCTTTAATCATGGAATTGGGAGCAATTATTACTAATATTGATAACTTTATTATTTGTACCCCATCCACCTGACTGGGTTGCCCCAGCCGCTCTGGGCTAACAAGTGATTTCCATTTTGGCCAAATTCAGCATTCATCATCCCACAAGCTGCTGCCCCCAGGACCCAGTCTGCATCCAAGAGCTCTGTCTCTTGTTAGACTTTAAGGCTGCCTTCTTGTGTTGCAGGTGGAAACGGCTACATCAATGACTACCCCATGGGTCGCTTTCTGCGCGATGCCAAACTGTATGAAATAGGGGCAGGAACCAGCGAGGTGCGGAGAATCATCATAGGCCGGTCGTTTAACGCTGCCTTTAAGTAGCGCTGTCATTCGAGGAGAATCACACTTCAAACCGAGAGGCCTTTTATTTCTAAGACTGTAAAGCGCACAAGCATTTTTCCACTCCCGCTACCAGAATGACCACCTCCACTTATCTCTCGACCTTCTGTTCTCAGTGCAAACCCAACTAGATTCCCTAAGAACATGCGATTGCATTACAATTACAGTGGAATACAGTAGGAAGCTCAAGTGGAATATGTGGATATCTGCCAACATGGTTTGCTTAGAAAGGGAGAAATTTTGTACACTTTAAAAAAGATTATCAGTTTTGTGAACTATTGAAGTAGATTTCTCTCTCTCCCGAATGTGGTGTTTTTAGTGAATGGGATTAGCAGCATGGTGTTCTGTTGCATCACACCTCCAGAATGCTAGCTGACTTTATGGGGTTCTTTTGCATTTCATGGGATCAGCCACCCAAGCAGCATTAAGGTTGCTGCTGAAACATTGGTAACATGGGAGGCATGCATTTTTGTTTGTTCCTATCCTCTCTTGCTGCTTACTGAGGTATATTAATACCCTGCGAAGCCTTCATTCATTTGATGGACTGCCACCTTATGCTTGATTCATGCGGTGATGTCACCATCTATCATTCTGGAAGCAGTTAAAATGTCAAAACACTACAATGTGCCGGCCGAGAGTGAATTGGGGAGGAGGCGGAGGAGGCAACTTGACTGGGGAATGTTAGGTGCTTTTGCAAAGCTTCCCCTTGGTGAACATGGCTGCATGTACACTTTGCTCTGCCTACTAGAGGAAACAAAAGCTCAGCTGATGGATAAGACGGGGTGGGATCTAGCGGTGCTTTACACACCATCATATGAGGACTGAAGGGTTTTTGTTTTGTTTTTTTACTGGATAGTAAACAGCGTGACACAATTTCCAAAGATCTTAAAGTCCAGGCAAAAACAGAAGTTGGCTAGGATTTAAAATGGTTGTTGGTGGCTGGATTATTGTCGTCCATTGATTTCTCTCTCTGGGCAGTACCTTACCATGAACGTTTAGAAGGATCCTGTACTGTCCACATAAAGGATGGAAAGGGAGGCAGTATAATGAAAACCAGCAGCTTCCAGCACTTGAGCTCTGTTAATCTTAGACCAATTCATGAAGGGATTGGCATGGCTTGAATGTAACGGAGAACCAGTATGCTAGAACACACAAGGTTTATGTTGGTAAGCTGGTTTTAATAATTCAGTCTTCCTCATATAATGCATTAAATTTTCTAACGAGAGGGGATCCTTTCACTGCAAGCAGATGTGCTTGCATCAGTCAGACTTCCTTTTATTTTCCAGTTTTATATACCACTTTTCACCCAAGTGATTTTGAAGTGGGTCACATAGGTTATTATGTGCCAAAAACAGCAAACAGGACCAGGCACTGTGGATCATGCCTGTGGGACAGAAAACATCAACCCCACAAACATCTAAAGCTCAAATAAATTGTGAAAACCCTTCAGATCTGATGGGGTCATGGGGAATCTTGATTAGTAATTGGTAACCCGGTCAACTTTTTTCAGACCCAGGACACATCTTTAAATCCCATATGCACAACGTAGGATTGACTTAAAAGCTTTTACTGTTTATGTACAACTTTCCCCTTTCTTCTTAATAAACCTTTTTTAAAAAGGAGGTGGTGACAGCACTTGATGGTTGAACTGGACCTTGAAGGTGGAAATCATGACAATCTCGTTGACCATTCAGAATGAGAATAGCCTTGGAGCATAGCATATTTGGTCTTCAGTGTTATTTAAGTCTCACAGAGACTCTGAAGACACCAGCTTTCATTTTATAAGATAAGTGGTGGATGGACAAAAGTTGGCAGCATTGCACACTGTCAAACAAATTGTCCATCTCTCAGCATACATGTCCCATAAAAATTCATGGAATCTTTGCATCTCTCAATCACATTAGATTCTGCGGCCTTCTGCCTCATTTTCAGAAAGTACAGTGGTGCCTTGCAAGACGAAATCCGTTCCGCGAGTCTCTTCGTCTTGCGGTTTTTTCGTCTTGCGAAGCACGGCTATTAGCGGCTTTAAGAAAAAGGAAAAGAACTCGCAAGACATTTCGTCTTGCGAAGCAAGCCCATAGGGAAATTCGTCTTGCGAAGCAGCTCAAAAAACGCAAAACCCTTTCGTCTAGCGAGTTTTTCGTCTTGCGAGGCATTCGTCTTGCGGGGCACCACTGTATCTGTTAAAGGGCAGTTATTGGAAGAGAGACACAGAAATAGGAAGTGTTTCTAAAGAGCAGGGAAATGTTGCTTTTTACCCATTTTGAAATCTGAATTGCAGTAGGATTGTTTATACATCATCAAATGGGGTAGCAGGTTACAGCTTTATCACCCAACTTTGTCCAAAGCTCCATTGAAGTGAGTGTAAGAGTTGAATAATACAAAGGAACGGACTCAACTCGGGAGGTTGTGGTCTCTCCTTCACTGGAGGTTTTTAAGCAGAGGTTGGATGGCCACCTGTCATGGATGCTTTAGTTGAGATTCCTGCATTGCAAGGAGTTGGACTAGATGATCCTTAGGGTCCTTTCCAAGTCTACAGTTCTGTGATCCTTAACACTCTGACTTCTAAATTTGCTGCCTGGCGCTTGGGTGAGCTTCTTCACAGAAGTGTTAAGATGGAATCCGTCATTCCACTGGGAGATTGCTAATAAAACTCTGGATGTAGCAATAAGTCAATGTGATTGAATGTATTGAGTGGTTTATTCAAAGGGTTCTTTCCAATGTAATGTGAAACATGGAGAAATTGCTGACTAACGGATGGCTTTGTTGAATGCATTAATGCTGATTAAACTATTGCAGTACAAACAAATATATGTTCCCCATTCATGTATCGGCTATTAGCATGCTCTAGTATGCCCAGCAGGAGGCAGGTAGAAACTTCATGTGCTTCTTAGCATTAAACCACAACTGTGAAGCAAACCTCTCCCAACCAGTACATCCTGTATGGGTGAAACTGGTGTGTATGTTGGGGAGGGGTTCACTTTTTTAGCTGCAGTACTCCTTCCTTCACAACACATTGGGCAGATACAGGGACCTTTGATCACAGGGGAGTCATAACCAGCAGCAGGCATTATATAAGGCCGAACTACCCAAACATGTCTTTCTACTGTTGCATTATGTAGATTAGTGGCCATTTTGTTAATCCTATTGTTGCCAGATGCACTGCTTTTCACAAGATGCACCTTCATAATTACTGTGTTGGGAGGATGGGGCCACAGGGAGTTGACAAGAGAATGCCAACCTTATTTAATGTTTTTAGATTTATGGCTGGACTGGTGCAAGAACCTGTCGTTAGGCCTTGGGCCTGGATTCGAACGCTTGCTGCAGCAGGGAAGGGTAATTTGCAAAATTCTCTCTCTGTAAAAAGGGATTACCTTTCTCATAACTGGGGGCCTAGTTTGTAATCTAAATTACCAAGATCTTTAACTTAATTGTGTAGGAGCCAGATATACCACCAGCTTTAATTGTGAATTTTTTGCCCTGTTACACTTTGCAGGCAGCCCTGAGGCCCCATAGGCTGGCAGCACTTCCAAGCAGTTTCTGATGATTCTCATTATTGCAAGTACAGTGGTACCTCGGGTTACAGACGCTTCAGGTTACGTGATTTCGGGTTGCGCACTGCTCCGAACCCAGAAGTACCGGAACAGGTTACTTCTGGGTTTCTGTGTTCGCGCATGCGCAGAAACACTAAATCGCACTTTGTGCATGCGCAGATGCGGCACTGCGGGTTGTGAATGTGCCTCCTGCACGGATCACATTCACAACCCGAGTTTCCACTGTACAGCATGAGACTCTTAATATCAGGGTCTTGGGTTCGAGTCCCACGTTGGGCAAAAGATTCCTGCCTTGCAGGGGGTTGGACTAGAAGACTCTTGTGGTCCCTTTCAACACTACAGTTCTATATGATGAAGAATTTTTCACCAACTTACCAGCGGATTGGTGGTCACTGTTACCCCCTGAGGCTTGCTCCATGCAACTTGTATTAAACCGAATGTGTGTGTACTATGCAGGCAGTGGCAGCTCAAGCCCATTGAGACAGGTAGGGCAGAAGGTAAAGAGGACAACAGTAGATAGAGCCAGATGCAGTGGCTGGCAGAGCCAACTAATTCAGCTGGACAGCTGAGGGGCAGGTAGTAGCTCTCCTTTCCCTACTCCCTGCCCTTGTTGCAGGATCACGCTTGCTCTCGGGGGCATCAGTGTGCCTCCTGCACCCTGCAGCTCACTGACAATGGCCGGCGCTACCCCTTTCTGAGGAATTGCTGTGCTGAAAGATTAGGAAGAGAGCTTCACTTCAGCATAAAGGAGCTAACAGCTGTGAAGAGAAGACAAAAACATCCTTGAGCGAAGCAGACAATATTGTGCGGGGTGGAAAGAGGAGTGGGGATTACCGTTAGCAGAGCTGCGATCTCTCTTTCTTGCACCTGCTGCTTGCTGAAAGGCTGATGCTGGGGCCCAGTTGTCAGCCGCAATGACAAAGCCTCTAGTCCAAGAAAAAGGCAGGCAGGCCATCCACACAGGCAGGGCCAAGAGCAGAGGGGAGGGAGAGGAAATGCAACATGTGGAAGCAAGAGGCTGGCGGGCGAGGTGCCCGATTGCCTCAAATCTCCATCCGCACTTAAGCACCAGGTAGGCAGAACATTGCTGCAATGGGATAGGTGTAGCAAGAGGCAGGCAGTGCAGATTGGCAGATTGCACTCAAATTTGCAGGCGAGGTGCTGCTTAACCCAAACTTAATGGTAGAAAAATAAAACTTAAGCGGCTAAGGGACTCTCTGGGTGCCTACAAATGGGTTTATATTGTGGGATCGGAGCTTCTGCTGTAGACACGCGTTTTTCTATATTTGCACGACTTCGCCGTGGCATCAAAATGACAGCCTGCATTTTCCCCATTTAATCCCTTTCCAGGAAAAATCCCGTAAATTAAACGCCATTTGCGTTCTCTCGACAGGTCGTTTTCAATATTAAGTCCCCAACTGGAAGCATTCTCTGCCCATGAATCAGGATGTTTCTAGTTCAGATCCTTCCTCAGCCATAAACTTGCTAGCAAAAGTACAGGTAATCATGTGGGTCCATTGACAGGCAGGAATTAAAATGCCACACGGCACGGGAAACACCTTCAATGGAGCCGAATCAAATGTCACAGAGTAAGGAGTCCGTCTCTCTCTGCCTCACCTTGTCTGCAAAGTGGAGTAATACAGAACTACTGCATCATTCCATGTTGCCTTATGGCTAGGATGATTTAAGGATTACAAGATAATGCAAGGGAAGGTGTTTGAACGGAAGTGCTATACAAATGCGAAGATGACAATTTAGTAATTCCATTTCATTGTTCAGGTGTGATGCTAAAGTTGTTGACGGTAAGATGAATGAGGTTATTTCTGTTAGTCCCATGGCTGCGTATCAGTGCAAAGAAGCAAGTTGATTTGTTGTACATGCAACTGGTTTCTTGCCAAAATTAGGTTCTGAAAGTCAGGCCTCAAAAGTATTGCTGCTTTTATTCTGATTTGTATTGAAATGATTGTGTGTGTAGTGGTTGAGAGCGGTAGTCTCGTAATCTGGGGAACCGGGTTCGCGTCTCCGCTCCTCCACATGCAGCTGCTGGGTGACCTTGGGTCAGTCACACTTCTCTGAAGTCTCTCAGCCCCACTCACCTCACAGAGTGTTTGTTGTGGGGGAGGAAGGGAAAGGAGAATGTTAGCCGCTTTGAGACTCCTGAAGGGGAGTGAAAGGCGGGATATCAAATCCAAACTCTTCTTCTTCTTCTTCTTCTTATGAAGTCCTTGCTCGTTATGTTGTAAGGTTCCCCGTGGTCATTTTTGTGAATGGTGGTATATGAATATCCTAATAAATGTTTTTTAAATGACATTTTCATAAATGCACATTGTACTCCTAGAATCAGTTAATGCAGCAGCCACAATCGGAGTGGACAACTTTATGTAAAAAATGAAGGATCTTTCTGATGCAATCCAGTTGCTGAGAATGTTCATTGTTATGTACATCTCATCTACATATTTATACTCTCTGCTTGAGGTGGCTTATAGAACACCTGAAAGGAAGCTCATTTTGATGTATTTCATAATAGTTTATACACTAAAGCTATCCATGAAAATCCCAATTTCAAGGTTCACTGCTAATAAAACTACATTTCCTTTCACTGTTAATAAATTTAGGACAAGCAGATTGTCTGTTTCTGCAAATTCCCACTTGGTTTCCATTAATCCTCTTGGGGGGGGGAATTATTAATATCTACAATAGGACAATGCATTTTCTGCAGCAGCATGAAAAACATGAACAAGGAACCAAGATTAATTGGGTTAGTGTGTTTGTCAACTCATAATTTCATTTACAAACATAAGCATGCACTTGCTCCTCCCCCCACCCCTCCTGAAATTATGGTTATGTACACAACACCAACTTAAAATCCAGGCAGGCCGTTCTGTTTCTCAATTCAGATCAAAGCTGGTTTGGGTAGATATGAATCAAGATGCCGTATTTCATAAGAACCAACAAGGTAGATAAGAGTATATGGATTGTAGTTTAAGATAATGTGTGCACCACTTCCTAAGCAAGCAGTATGAGCACACTGGACCCAGTTCAAACGGGACTATGTGCACAGCCTATACAGTATTGCCATATAATTTTGTATCCTCTGTGAAGATCAATGGGCGTTTAAAGCAGCTTATAAAAGGTAATCTATGACCATTAGTGAGTTGTTGACCTGGGATTATTGCAGTACAAAGCGATACCGGTAATTTAAAATAGCATCCTCTCATCAACATTAAAGAATTTGGAATTAGCTAGTGAGATGTGCAACAAAGTGTTGCAGAGTACAGTATCTTCACCTCCTTGCAAAATTGCTCTTGTCCAGGGTGACAGGACAGAATAATCCTCTCCTGCAAAATATTCTATCTCACCTCAATTTCCCCTAACACTTTAATGTTATGTGGCTACTAAACACATTTATTCTTCAGTGGGCTGGTTTTTTTACTCTCTTAGAAGACTTTTTGTACTTTTTGTGCAAATATTGGAGTTCCCTGAGCTGCTGCCCCCTGCTTGTTTCTTAGTGGTCCCATTTTGGCTATACATCCATCACTACCCAACCAGTTGACTTTTGCTGTTAGCAGTGCTGGGAACTTGTTTCATCTGCAGAACCTTTTTGAGGCAGGGCTTGAACACAACACGCTCCGTCCCTATTTTGATGGGATGTTTTTTGTTGGGGTTTTTTAAAAAACCACCTTAGGAGAATAGTATATGAATGGCAGTGGCAGCCACCAACCTAGATGGCTTTAAAAGAGGATTAGACAAATTCATGGAGGAGAGGGCTATTGATGGCTGCTAGCCATGTTGGTTATGCTCTGCCTCCACTGTCAGCAGCAGTAATGTTTCTGAACACCAGTTGCTGGAAATTACAGGAGGGGGAAGTGCTTGGCGACCTGAGATTCATCAAAGCAATTACTTTCAAAAAGGCTCCAAGCTAGTGCACCCAGCACTCCTCAGTTCAACCTACACACACATTGCTAGGGGAAGCAGGCGTAGCTTCCAGCTGTCCAAGATAAGGCAGCCTGCTCATTGCCCCGGCTGACCCCACAAAAGCTTCCTAAAACCCAGAAACTCAGGCCAACACACCCTGTGCATCTCAGACAGCCCCCTTATAAGTTACTGAGAGTGTAAAGGCAGATCACACTCCTGACTCTCCCCCAGATCTCAGAAGAGAACCTGCCCTCTTACAACTCTGATTCTAACCTTTCAGTAGCATGAATTCTAAGCACCTAGGTACGTGAGGATTCTAAAACCCTGAGGTTGGCAATTACACACAATTCACTGGTCAAATTAGGGAACTTTATTTAAAAAAAGGGAAAGCAGGCAGGTCGAAACAGAATGCCAAATACAGTGGTACCTTGGAAGTCTGATCCGGAAGTCTGTTCAACTTCCAAAACGTTCAAAAACCAAATTGTGGCTTCTGATTGGTTGCAGGAAGCTCCTGCAGCCAATCAGAAGTCGTGGAAGCCCCGTTGGACGTTCGGCTTCCAAAAACAGTTCTCAAACCGGAACAGTCACGCAACGTTCGGGAGCCAAAACATTCGGGAGCTAAGCTGTTTGAAAACCAAGGAACGACTGTAAATAAGAGCACTGAACTGATCCTAGCTTAGCCACTACAATATGGTTCTAACTGACTTACAAGTAGGCAGCAAGGAAGTTCCACTTCCCCAAAAGTCCAGTCTGGATTCCTGATGGTGGGATGGAACAATTTTGCAAAGGCAGCTCAGCTTTTCAAAGTCTCCTCTGCTGAAGAAGTGGCCCCTGGCTCTTACTGACCAATGAGATCCAGAGCCATTTGGCCCCACTGGTCCCCTTTCCCAGACAAGCATCTTGAGTATCCCTTTGTGACTGACTGGCTTAGAGAAATAGTGGGGCAGATCAGGGCCTTTCTTCACACATCTATTGCATGTATGAGCATCTGAGTTCTTATGTAGGGCATTTTCTCTTGGACAGATGTCTAAACAAACAAGAAGTTACTCTTAAAATCCCACACACAGCTGAGTCGATATCCTGATTACAGTTTGTTGCCAGCAGTTGACAAACATGGTATGCCCATAAGGTTCACGAGAGCTTGATGAAGGTTTGGCTTTTTGCAAGAAAGTTGTCTGGCCAGCTAAGCCAGTAATAGTTTTGTGTTTGGCAGCCTACAAAGCTGGTTCACAAAACTTCTCAATACTTTCCGAAAACCTTTAGATGCAAAATTGTATTTTCCTGTTGCAGTGAAATGTTCCGTGATCCTCAGCAAACAGCAACAAAGAGGGTTCCCAGATGATGTTGGACTACAACTCCCATCATCCCCGACCAGTGGTTATGCTTGCTGTGGCTAATGGGAATGGTAGTCCTCAAAATGTTCTGGTTACCCTGGCTTTACTGCTGGAAACATCTGTGTAACTGCAGCAAACAATATTGCTTCATAAAGTGAGAAGAAGCCCAATGCCCCACCCTCTCCAATATCCCCTTGTATAACACAAATGATCTACACAGTGGTTCAAAGAGACAGGCGCTTGCAGCTGAACATGTGGTCTGCCAGGGATCAGGGATCAGCACAGCTGGGACAGGAGACCCACTGCTGATTCCCAGTGTTTCTGGGTCCTGCTTGCTCTCATGTTATTGCATGTTTGCCTGCCCTCCACATATGATAGGAGCAAAGAGGAACAGCAGCAGTTGTCTCCGCTTGCCTCCCTCTCTCCTTCAGGGCAGTGTTGCACTTGGAATCTGGAGGGAGGCCAAGCGGAGATGACAGTGGCAAGGAGAAGGGCCTAATAAAAGAGTAATGACCAAGGGGCCCAAAAAATCTGGAGCCAACACTTTTGACAGAAGATGCTTGTGATGCTGGGATTGTGTCAATGACTTGACATGCAGGATGGGGCTGCCTAGGTCAGAAATTGTGTCTGTGTCTGTTTCTGACTGATAGAGGGATTTCCCAGTCAGCTGAACCACAGCTATGTATTTCAGATTTTTGTGTCTTGATAATATTGAACCAATATTGGTGCTGGCTCGCCAGATACAGCTTAGTCACGCTGGCCACATGACCCGGAAGTGTCTTCGGACAGTGCCGGCTCCCGGCCTCTTGAGCGAGATGAGCGCGCAACCCTAGAGTCGGTCACGACTGGCCCTGATGGGCAGGGGTACCTTTACCTTTAATATTGAACCAAAGCAAGCAGTCACATTAAAAGCTGCTTTCCCACATGAAACGTGCCTCTAATTGTGTTAGCCAAAGGTCTGACAGCCAAAACGCATTTGTTGAACTGGATGCAATGCTGTGGGAAACCTGCAAGCGGGACCTGAGAGCAGCAGCGCTCTGTCCCCCTGTGGGTTCCAGCAACTGAGATTCAGAGGCGCACGACCTCCAGCAGTGGTCAGTGGCACAGTGCGGGCTCCACTGACTGGCAGCAGCTCTGCAGGGTCTGGGACTGAAATCTTTCCCCTGGCCTGCTTGGCCTCCTTGTAGATTGAGCCTCAGACCTTCTGCAAGTAAACCATGAGTCTTGCTGCTCAGAGAGAGCCCTTGTCAGAAACATGTTAAGCCACCCTAGGAAAAGGGTCATACATAGTTCTGTGACAGAGCACCTGCTTGGCATGCAGAAGGCGCCGGGTTCAATCCCAGACGTTTCCAGGGAGGGCTGAGAGAGGCTCCTTGGAGAACCACTGCCGGTCAGTGCCGACAACACCGAGCTAGATGGGCCGGTGGCTTGACTCCTGTTCGCCTAGGAAACTGACCCGGAGAGGCGTGATTCACACAGAGCTGCCGCCGCCGCTTCTTTGGGTCCCGCCGCTTCTCATTCCACGCATCTCTTTTCTCGCGTCGCGGCGGCATACTTCGGGAATGACTGACGCGGATGATAGACATCGTCTGAATAGGCGGGCGCCCCTCATGTGGCGCGGGGCTGGGCTCACAACAAGCACGAACTCCGCCGTCTTAGAATGGCGAGATGCAGCGATAGGCAAGGCAAGAAGCCCGCCTGAGCGGCCCGAGAAGCGCGGCGCCTGGAGAAAGGGACGGCGGGTGGGGTGGGGGAGGTCTCCGCCTTCTCCTCAGCGGAGCAGCGGGAGCTCATTTTCCGGGCTTTTGCTCCCGGCCGGCGGCTCCTGCGCCCGCAGCTGGGAAGTGAATGGCGCGGGCCTGGAAGCTGCCGGAGCGCGCAGCTGGCAACCAGCCGAGCCCCGTCGGAAGCCGCTCCCCTCCAGGCGAGCAGCGTGCCTCCTGCTGGGCGGCCGCTGCGGGGCGCCTTGGAGGAAGGCAGCCCTCCCGCGCGCTCGTTCCCGCCGCTCGCTGTAATCTACCTGACACAGCGGGAGCAGGAGGGGGAGAAGCCGGGAGAACACCAGGGAGGCAAGCAGGGCCGGGCGGGGGCTGCCTGCCGCACACTCGCCGGCTGGGGAAGTGGTGGGGGGCGCGGGCGGAATTGCTCGCGCGCTCTGTGGAGGCGGCCCCCTCGAAGGAGGCGCGGTGGGCGCCGCTTCCGCAGCTGAGGTGGGGGGCGCAGGAGCAGCGCCCCTTGCGCGCCAGCAGGCAGCAGCAGAGGGTCAGCCTGGGAGCAGCGCGCGCCGCGACCTCGGCCAGGGCGAGGCTGGACTCCGAAGCGCCGCACGGGCGCGTGGCGGAGCACGCGGGGGAGGCGAGGGGAGGCCGCTTGGCGGAACCGCGCCCCTAGTGGTGAAGGGCGCTTAGTGGTCAGGAGGCGGCTTCGCTCCCGCTCCCACGTTCCTTGTGCAATAGTTCTCTGTACGCGCAGGCAAACCTATTTCGTTAGATGAAAGCAGTTACGCAAGGGGACCGTCGCGCGATGGCACCGGGTGTAAGGCGTTAGGCAACCTCGATCGCTGCGGTGTTTTAACGAGCTGGTTGAATGGACTAACGAGCTGGTTCATCAAGAAGCTGATAATAATAATAATAATAATAATAATAATAGAAATTGTAAGTACTTCTAAAAACAGCATCATCTCAAGAAGGGCAATGCCCGCTTCTCTCTCTCCCCGAAGGGAGTGCCTCTAAGATTATGGCTACTGCCACACATCATCTAACGGCAAAATAAGCATTTGCTGGCTTTGGAAATAGCGCTTTTGTTCATTTGATTTTCTGCAGATTTAATGAATAGGCTGGTAAGTAACTGAAATTCATATGATTGTGAGCTATTCACGTCTCTTTGGTCAGCTGCAAGTTATCAAGATTCGCAGTGTCACACAATGTCTTCAGTATGTTCCAGTCCACCACACACAGCTTTTTGAGAGTATTTTTGGGCTTCCTGCACATTTTTAAATGACCTGGTTTGGTTTGCACTGATAGAGTTACTGGAAACATAAGACCCCTCTGCTCAATGGGCTTACTCTCTCAAGTTGGTGTGCGCAGCGTTATAGCCTAAAGAACATGGTTGGCATCCATCTGCCTCGAGAGACAATGGAGTGCACTTCTGGGGGCAAAGACAAACCTCTGTGTTAGCAGCAAAGGGAGTTCCCCAGGGTGCGAGCCTGGGCAGTGTGTATGGAGGTCCTGGGCTGCCCAGACAACAATGCCACACTCTCAGCCTTGCTGATGTGGTCCAAAGGAAAGCAGGGCAATTTGTTTGGCACTTGCTTGACTTCAGGAGTTGTTGGAAGGAGGCATAGGGACTCCACTTTAGATTTGTGTAGGATTTACTCCTTCGCTTTGTCTTATCCCGATGATATCCCACTTTGCAGGAGAGGTTTGGGATCAGAATTTTCCTTCTAGATGGGCTGCCTTCCCAGGTTGACAAGCCGCATCTGCCCCTCACTTCCCTCTACACTGCAGCATGTGCAGAAACCGCCTTCTTGACCGTTGGACCCACTATTTGTCTCATCTACTCAATCTGCTGGAGCCGTTCTTTGCATGCAGGGGAAGTCCCTAACTCACTGAGGGCTTCAGACCCATCACCTTCCCTCACCTGGTTTAGCCAGCCAGTCGAGGTCCTTTCTAGGGTGTGGCTGCTGTCACATGCTGACAGTTTCTAGGAGCCACAGGTGAGAGCTGAGCACAGGGTGGGAACCAAAGGTGGACAAACTACCCCAGAAGGAGCACAATGTGTACCCCAGCAGAGGTACTACGCCTCCCCTAACACACCATACACCCCCTAAAGAACATAACCTATTCTGTTTAATAATATAGAGAGAGAGACAGAGACAGAGAGAGACAGAGAGAGAGAGAGGTAAAGGGACCCCAGACAGTTAAGTCCAGTTGCAAACGACTCTGGGGTTGCAGCGCTCATCTCGCTTTACAGGCCGAAGGAGCCGGTGTTTGTCCGCTGCGCAGACAGTTTTTCCGGATCATATGGCCAGCATGACCAAGCCGCTTCTGACACAACACAACACCGACACCAGAGCAGCGCACGGAAACACCATTTAACTTCCTGCCGGGGCAGTACCTATGAATCTATTTGCATTTTTGGGCATGCTTTTGAACTGCTAGGTTGGCAGGAGCTGGGACTGAGTAATGGGAGCTCACTCTGTCGTGGGGATTCAAACCGCCGACCTTTTGATCGGCAAGCCCACGGTTTAGACCACAGCGCCACCCACATATATATAGATAGATGATAGATAGATATAGGTGTTGCTCTTTTGCGTCAATGCTGTCTCTTGACATATTTGTGCATTAAGCCCAGTTTCTGTTTTAAAAAATAAGAATGGTGTTATAACATGGCATGCCTTTAAAAAGAATGTTGTGTGTCTAAATTAGCCATGCACCCTGTAAGATAAAGAAGTATACATGCATCACACACCATTTCAAAATGGAATAGGGATTTTGAGTGGGTTTGCACTGTAAGGGCATCTCTACCGTCTCATGTGCGTGATAGCATTTGGCCCAGACATTGGTAAGTGCTGATATGACCCTTCCCTCCCATTGCTGAGGCCCAGAACATGGCCTGTCCCGTTTCCTACAAATCCCATTGCACAACAGAAATGAAGCTCTAAACCACAAGGCCCTTCCTGGGTGGTTAAGGTCATCTAGCCTGGAGCCTCCACAAAACTGCCTGAGGCCTGCAACAATTCCCTAGAACTCTCTTGCCTGTCATGTCTCATTGCTCATTCAGCAGAGCTTCTGCTCTGAGGCTGCACCTGCCAAGAGTTGTGGCAGTGCAGCTAATGGGAGCCTCTGTGCCACTGGGCACCTACCTGCTTCCCCACAGGCATTGCCTCTAACGTGGAACTGTGTGACAGACGCCCAGCTGGTAGTATGGAAAGGCTGTTTCCTCCTTGGCCCATCCTACCCCCTTGACTTGTTGCCTCTTACAGGGCAGCTAATAGAATGAAATCCCAATTTGAGTGTCTCTGGGCTAGTTCACTGACTTATTTTCTCCTGCGGCAAAAGCGCCTCGCATGCTGCCGCTGTCCATTTCTGCTGCTTAATCTTTAATGAAGACGTTCTGCGTCTTATGTCTGTCGGCTCCTCCTCTGTCTCTGTTCCCCTGATGCAAAAATATTCTAATGAATGAGCTGGCCAGCCCTCTTTTCCTGGCAACAAAGAAAGTGTCGTGTCATCTTCTGTGTTCGAAGCTGCAGAGCGGCTAAATGTTTTCCTCTTAAGCGAGGTCACTTCCCTTCTGCAGTCATGTGCTCACCCTCCCATCTACAACCATCTCAGAATTGTGGCGAGTTCACGGGTGAGGTCTCTTTAAAGTTGTAGCGGCGCATTGATTTTCCTATTGGCTGCCTGCTTTGTGAATAGCTTGTTATATGGTTTTCAAATGCGGACCCCAGGAAGAAGTTTGGATGTGGCGGAGGTGGGAAGTATTGGGGTGCAGAGGAAAGGGAAGGAGGGGGAACAAGAATGTGTGGAAGCAGAAAGGCTAGCAGTGGGAAGCAATAGGTGTGGGCCCCTTGCTTACTGAGCTCCTTTACAAGAAGAAGAAGAAGAAGAAGAAGAAGAAGAAGAAGAAGAAGAAGAAGAAGAGTTGTTGTTGTTGTTTGGATTTGATATCCCGCTTTATCACTACCCGAAGGAATCTCAAAGCGGCTAACATTCTCCTTTCCCTTCCTCTCCCACAACAAACACTCTGTGAGGTAAGTGGGGCTGAGAGACTACAGATCCCTGCTCTTTTTCTATACCACGGAATTGTAGAATTATAGAGTTGGAAGGGACCCAAAGGATCATCTAGTCCAACTACCTGCAATGCATGAATCCCAACCAAAGCATCCGTGATCAAAGGTTTGGAACTTCACTCAAAGACAGAGGGAGCCGGGTCAGGCTCTGTCCGCAGGGCTCCCTCTGCTTTCACCAGCTGGAGGAGGCGGGCAAGCTGCCTCTTTCTCCCAGGAGAAAGTCAGCCCGCTCGCCCCCCACTTACCCAAAGATGGAGTGAGCCCCCAACCCACCTCTGGCTTGCGTGAGCCAGAGCAGGATGGGGGCTCTTTTAAACTTCTCCGTTCAGGGGTGGGCAGTCCCTGAACATAGAAGCTTAAATGAGCTGCCTGCTTGCATGGGCAACCAAGGGAGGAACAAGCTACATTGGCCCTGGCCAATGTACCGGTAGATTGTTCTGCCCTCAGTGGTATTAGGGTCCAAGCAGAATGGCAGTTTCACCCAGCAGTATATTGCGGGTGAAACTGCCACTGCTCCTGAGTCCCTCTCTCGCCAGCTCATGGCTGCTGCTTGTTTCTCCCTCGTGTGCTAGGGGCAGAGGGATTCGGGAGCGGCGGCGGTTTCACCCACAATATACCGCTGAGTGAAGCAGCCATCATGGTCTGGCCCTCATACCTGCATTGATACATCGTCCAGGCCTAGTTGAAGCCTAAAGGGAATGGTTAGAAGTTCCTCAAAACTTTGGACAATGTGGTAGGTAAGCACCACCTCAGATGTTTAGAATATCTAAATGTGAAATGAAGAGAGCAGATTTTGTCCACTGTTGGTGAAACTGTCCTGAGGTAAAAAGTACTGTATGAAATTGCATCCAATATTTTGAAGTTCCAGCAACTCCCAATTTACGCGGGTGTTACGTTCCAAAGCACTACACGTGTATATTTGAGACACCATTGAAAAAGCCTGAAAAACCCACCCATTCCTCCCCTTTTTGTGGCATTCTTGTGATGTTTTCGGGTCACTTCAGGGTTCAGCACGATGCAGGCCTGTTCAGTTATGCATATACTGTACCAGGCGTACCTAAAGTGATCACTGCCAATATTTGGAACTGTTAGATGCATATGTATACTAATTTATCTTAAGGACATGGTTCCTGAGGACAGAGAGAAACTATTATACCATGTGATTCTAGAAGCAAGAATTTTGCATGGAAAATATTGGGAAAAGAAAGAATTCCCACATCTGAGGGAATGGTTTATAAGACTTTGGGAGCTGGCAGCTTTGACTGCTTTCCCCTCTCAGGCTGCATTCTGGCCCCAGGCCTGAGGTTCCCCACCCCCTGGGCTAGATGAACAGTCTGACTCAGTATAATAAAGCAGCTTCATATTATTTGTGGAACAGCCACAGGGCGAATATTGTAACAGTGACGGGAGAGAAGCATCTGCAAAGGCAGAGTGGCTGCACAGAAAAAGGGGCCCTAAGCCCATCGCAGCAGCTCCCTGGCCTCCATCTCCTGCAATAGCTCCATAAGGAGCTCCATAAGGAAGCTCCTGCAGCCAATCGGAAGT